GGGTGTTGATTTTTTTATGTCGTCCACCTAATCCGTATACTTACGTTTGGCGGCCGCTACTCTACAGCCGGTTGGCAGTATACACAAGCATTGGATTATACAATGCCTATAATAGGTTCGTGCGGTAGAAATCGATGGGTGGACGCGAGAAGATGTCCACTTCTTACAGCGCCAAACCTACTCTCGAGCCGGTCAACGTGCCGGTCAGGTAAGTGACCTCACGCCGATGTCTGTGATCTCCGGCTGAGTAAGGAAAACTTTCATTTCGACTGGACAGAATTTTTTTTTTACCTACTACTCCGTCCGTTTTACTTTACATTATACACACACAATCAGCGGAGGGGACACAAATTCTCAAGGGAAAGAAAAAAAAAAAGGACAATTGCAGGTAGACTGACCTAACCAAATAGTATAGGTACCTAGTGTTGACAATCATTTCTACACCGAGTTCGGAGAAACGAGAAAGTGCATCCAAATATACCCGACGTACGGATGTAATACTTAATGGACAGTAATATATGTAAGAATTTTCTAGAAATAATTTTGATCCATCGATTGGTTCTGCAGCATAAATCTCACATGTGTCACGTGTGAACGACGAGAGAACGTGAAATCATCGCAGGTACAGAAAAATGTTGTCGTAGTTTAACAGACCGTGGAGGATATACTTTGATGTTAATTAAATTGAATCAACACGATAAATATTATAGCGGTCAATAAGCTTCGTGGCTTGTAATACTATTTGACCAAGACCATCAGTTGGAAATAATAAAAATAGTTATTATTACTGTTGTACATTTATAATAATTGCTGATTTTACATTTAAACAGTTGTCAGTCATCAACAATGAGTAAACATTTATTTTATTAGCTAGAAAATTACAACAGCTTTAGTCAATACTCAATACTAATATAGTTCACCCAGAGGCCCCGCCAAACTAGGGCAATCGTTGGATTTATTTTTTTGTTTTTGTTATCAAACTAACGCTGTTCGAGCGGAGACACGTTTTAGATCCGATTTGACAAGTATAAAAATTTTTTTTTAAAAACAAAAACGATCAAGAAACAATTTATATTCATTGTGACACTGAAACAATGCTATGCGATTTTTTCTTTTAGATATTTTATCGGCGTTCTCTGCATGATAATAGCTAGGTTTAGGTGGGATGGTTATAAATAATAGAGTCAAATGAAAATGCAAATATGAGCTGCTGGCGTGACAGCCTTTTAGTAACGGACATATTTTTAAGAACGAAAAAAAAAATGTAATGATTTATTTCAAATTGTTTAGCGCATTAACATCTTTATATAGAACTTAAAACGCTGTACATCACCTCTCTAAATCACCTGCCGAGTGCTCAGACCGCCGAGTTATTTTCGACATTATTTCGTCATTGTTGATTATTTTTTAACAAAAATATAATTATAATATTTAAATTATAAAAATGTATGATATAAAAAATGTTGGTAACTTCTTAGTCTCAGGTCGGGGAATTTCTCAAACTGTCGTTTAACAACAGTTATGTAGGCCGCCAACCATTTGGATAATGTTCGATCACGGTTTACACTAATTTTGATTTAATTAAAAAGAGCTTATGAGAATTTCTCCTCGTCTATCGCATTACCGTCGGCGTGATGTCCTACATCGAGACACCGATCCTAACCGGAAGTTGAGAGTTTTCGCACTCAAACCCCTTTAAGATCAATCATCAAAAAACACACTTATGCAATAGTCCAACAATAATAGACATAACATACCAAATGTCAGAAAAATTCCACACCGTGGCCCACCGACACGTCTTATTTATTTGAGGAACGGCATATAGGTACTGTACATGTGTTTTTTCCTTCTTATTTAGGTTACTGTTTTATGATTTCAATCGTCTACTAATTGGTTTCACGCTGGACGCACGTCTCGCGTGTATCAATTTGTCGGCACAACACACAACCGGCATTCGAAAAGTAAACGAGCGATTCGGAAAAAAAAGTATTGTACATAACAATAATGATAGTAATAATATTAATGTACAATAGACAAAAACCGTGGAATTGGGACGGCCATTCGTGTATTCGGTTTGAATAACGTATTCCATCGACTGGATAATCGACGTTTGGGTAGATCACTACTATGTACTTACTACTTTGTATTTTATAAGCTATATTATCTATAATAATAATTTTATAACACAAAAGATGGACAATATTTGGTCATATTCTATATTGGTGTAAGTGCAGTTAAACCGCATTCAACGAAGCTGTTAGGTTTTTTTTTACCTCATTTTTTTTTGCGGTTTTTCGACATGGGTAAACGATATCAGGTCAACGTCAACTCGGACACACGTTTCAGTAGTAGTAGTAGTCTGGCATTATAATATATATATATTAATTAATTAATTAATTAAGAACGAAAGGTGTATTGGAAAACCGCTTGAATGAAAATATGATCTCAAAAAACAACTGGTTCTGGATTAAAATTTATTGGCGATAGTAATTATAGTTTGACACATAAAAACTCTAAGGCAATACTTTTAGTTGTAATAATATTAGCAAGATTTGATGTATATAATTATAATCTGTATGCGTGTACTGGATAATTTTCAACCGGTTATTCGAGTAAACGGTACATGATCGTAGGTGTGCCTTACAAGCGCCAAACGGTGTGTTGATTTCAATAATAATTATTAAAACGATGATTTATGCGTCTTAAACAAAATACATCAAGCAAAATTTCCAACGTCGAACGTGAGCATGACCGATAATAGGTATAGTCTTCTGTGGCTAATTTAAAGTGCATAGAATAACTCATAGAAATAGAACAATAACGGTGACATTTTCTGATTTACTGGAATTTCATCGATCGGTTTTTGCTGAATACATTTTTTTTTGATTTTAGGTTAAAAAAGAAACCCGCGATGACCATTGCATATTATTATGGACAGCAAAAATTGACAACTAAATAACAATAGTATCCATCTGCGGTATTGAAAACAAAAATATGTCCTAATTATTTTTTTAAAAAGTCAAGAGTAGTTCTTGGCGTTGTAAAAACCACAAACCATAATATGATTTCACCGATATTTATCCATTTGTACTGTTCTACTATTATGTTAATTACATATAATGAATTATGAAACTACGGCGTACCTGTCAGCTACTTGAGTAAAAATTATCATAGGATCTGCGACTGCAAATATTGTTATGAAATTATAATACCTACAGCATCCGTCGGAGCCAAGAATGTGTTAGAAAAACAGGTTTTATGAAAAATAAATAATAAAGAAACGACATTATGAACGTTTAAAAAAAACTTGGAACGTCTGTGGTTTATTATGCAGGTTTATCGTTTTTTTTTTAACAAATTGACATAACTGTAAATCTTAACCGAACCGGCACCGAATCAAAAGTTACCACCAAGGCAGATATTCTGATCGCATACAATAATATAATATTAGTATAATCTAATATTATTATAATCTAGACGCACCAGAGCTCGATGTAAAAAATATGATTATTATTATTATAACGTTCTGTTGCATTGAATGCACAAACAAAAGGGTTACTTTTAAATGATGTAACTCGGAATCGTTAAAAACAAAAACGAACCGCAGTGTTCAAAAGAAAAACATAATAATATTGTAGGCAAGTTTTACAGATGCACGCCGTGGGTTCTTATTATACCTCTTGGTTTCGATCTGGCGAGGGGAATACATACACATAGTGAAATAATACTACTTGCTCTTTGGTTCTATAACTTCTAAACACATTGTTTGCAGTTGTGGTCATTGTCCGTGCAGATAAAACTAATAACAACAAAAAATACATCTCCATTATTCTCCGTTCGCCGTCCAGTGTTTTCGTCACGACTGCGTTAGGAGCCTGTGTCTACTATAATTTAATATCTGTGTATGTATAATATAGGTGTACCTGACAAATTTTTTTTTTTTTGCTCGCTTTGAAAGATCAAACGTTACCCCGGAAAAAAAACTAATAGTTAATACGGTTTTTTTTCCTCTTATTCTTTGCGGGAACGACAACCGAATACACGTAGGTATATATATATATATATATATTAGTAACTCCGCTAAACACTTGTTGAATGAAAAAACAGCGACGTGTGGGTATAATATTATTATTATGCCCAGCTCGACAATGGTATGGACCAGAGAAGATTAATTTTTCGACGCCCATTGTTCGTGTCAGGTACCTACAGACATTTTAATGTGTACATGGCGTATTATAATACTGGTACCCCGTACCACACAAACACAACACAGTTCGTTGGTGGCAACCTCTTCCCCCGAGTACACTGACCATGATGCGACTCGCAGTGCAACACATGTTTCATGCATTCATTCGAACATTGAAATCTAAATAAAAGTGCACTAGCGCTAGACAAACACACAATAACATAGCTGTACAATCTCAGCCATTCTTAAAATACCTCTTTAACCGCACACCGCATAGTAGTGCATGGTATACGCTTTGATTAATCTAAACCAGATAAATGTGGGGGTAGTATCTAGATAGTTTTGAAATTTGCTAAGTCCATACCAACTGCATGACTGTTTTATTGTCCTAGCATAATGTGCCGGTGCCAACTTGACCCATAATCACTATATGTGCCAATCACTGCCACCAATTTTTTTTTAGCGAAATTGCGCTCCCGGAATTGAAAAACAACTTGTACAGCGTCAAGCGAATTGTGTGCATGTTGGCAAGCCGGTTCAAAGACAATTGTCTTAATTTTATGCACCGGTTTTTTAAAGTTGCCCCCCAAGTCTGTCCAGTCCACCCCTGTATAACTTAATCATTTGCCTATAGGTTAATTTCGGGTTGGTAATTAATTACCCGACTCACCCGACCAGTTTTGTCTATGAATTTAAATAAAGTCGTTGTGTTTAATGGATATAAATAATTTTTGACTCGCGTACGAACACTTATGGAAGGTCTTTATAATGTTATAGGAAGTTATTTGTACATAAGTAATGGATATGTACTCACTTGTATTTGGTTTCTCCGGACCTCGTAGTACACCCAGTTGTCCGTGGAGAAGGCGATGGCCAACAGCGCCGTGGCCACGATGGCCGTTATGGTGGCCAGAGACAGTGTAACGGCGGAACAAGGCATGTTCGGGCTAGTGTATTTCGTCTGCGTGGAAATTAACGGGCAGGGGCGATTGTTGACGAATAACTCGACTGTTGTTGAACTCTCTCCGAAGACTTACCACATTTTGTTCGAATACGAAATTAAAAAAAAAAAACCAAATGCCTGCGGAGAAATGTTTTTTTTTTTCTGTTTTCAATTTGGGGGGTAGAACGCGCTCGCACACAAAACGACACACTGCAGAGGTCGGACACCAAAAACAACAACAACAACAACAACACGGGACGCGCAGACTGTGTGTGTATCGTTAAAACAAACGCACCGAACACACAACACACAGACACACAAACGCACACTACAAGCAGACCGACCGACTGCTCGAACAATAGTTGCACCGGACCGGACAGAGTTTTTTTACCCGACCGTACGATTTTCTTCGGGTCGTCCCCCACCTCGGCGGCTTCACTCCTCCTCTTAATATTATAAGACGTGTATAATAATTGTACAATGCTGCTGCCGGTAGTACTCCTTCGGCGGATCGTACCTACCTGCTTGCCGCCAGCCTACTCGCCCGCCTGTCTGCCTGCCTGCCTGCTTACAATAATAATAATAATAATAATATTATAATAGCGTAGCGCTGTGTCTGTGTACGCTGCACGAAGACGGTGCAACAGGTTTTGCCGACGGTCTGATACACGCCTGTGTGTGTGTGTGGGCGGTAGAGGGAGAAGAAAAATACAATCCATCATGCCTGTACTGCGCCGGGTACAGGCACCTAACAACAATATTAACAAATATTATTGTTTATGCTTGGTTTTTTTCTCGATAGTACCCAAAGTGTAGTCGACCATAATATAATGTGGATACAGTGTAAAATATAGTGAATACACTGTACCTACACTATACCTATAATATGTATTATGTACAAATACATTATAGGTATACAGGTATTTTATTTATTTACTTCACGCCACACTATTAAGTGTGCGCTGAACGGTAAAAAAACGTATTCGGTTTTGTACAGGCATGTGTAAGTAGGTAGTAGGCACCTCCAAATAGCTGTTCGAATTTCGATGTTCTCATAAGGATGATAAAAAGGTGGTTTCTTAGAAAAAACTTCCCCCGAGTCCTTATAAATAAATATAAATTATCAATCGGATTCTTCTCTCTTTTCTTTATTTTGGCATTTAAAAATCAAAATACAATCGATTTTTTTACCTGACTTTGAGGAGGTTAGTAGGTTTACGGTGTGTTGAGGTATTAGCACCAATACCCGAAAAGTGATAACGATACAACATAATATAATGTTTATTTTAAAAACGAAAAATCCCTATTAGGTGAAAAATAGACTATAAGCCATAAGGTATATTATTAAAATACTGAAGGTACGTTTAACATGTAAAAACATTTATTAATAAAAAACTAGTATGCCGTTTCGTGTTAGTGCGTTCTCAAATAGTGTAGAAACGGCTAGCTGGTTTGGACAAATTGCGGTAAAATTTGTAGAAAAAAACCCGAAGTCGAATTAAATTAACTTGGAAAATCGTAATGGTAAGTTACCCGTTTGTAAATTGGGTACAATAATAATAATAGCTATAATAATGACAAACAATACCGTCGTTTTTATCAGAAATTATGAATAGCCAATCGGTAATACCCGTTTGTAGAACTAAATTTACTAATAAAGTATTTACTTTTATATGCATTCGAAAATAAAACCGATATTGTAAGTACAGATAAAGCTTAACTATTTTTAAACAGTTGGTAGCAAAGGTGATCAATCCGATTATTAACATACAACGAATGACAGCCAAGAACACAATAAGTGCACGATTTTTAAATAATAACGGGCCATGGCGGTGGTTTAAGAGTTAGACCTAGATCTGTATAATTACTATAGAGCATGTCGAGCATAATGTAAAAAGGCGAAGAATTGATTGACGTGACATCAGGCATGTCAGATATAGTGAAAATAAACACTATTCTTGGTACACGCACAAAAACCTATTTTAGAAATGTCAGTTGGCGGAAAATCGTAGGAAATAGTGCCATATAGTAATTTTGTACAAAAAAATGCAGTGTAAACGGTATCAATTCAACTCGAAGCGAACTATTTCTTTGAGTTTTGGTATAGTGACTAAAAAATAACTCCGTCAAAATGTATCTACTAATTCTAAATGTCAAAAATGTGTTATTTTATTTCTTATTCACTGCAAATCTACCAATCAAAATCGCCCGGAAGTGATGGAATTGCACCAGCTTGGGTTTTTTCAATAATATTATTTATAATGGAACCCCTTGGCAATATCTACCAAATAAACATATTTAGTCTAACAATTCCAATCCCCAAATTAAATGTTAGAATTGGTAAAAATGTTGGATGCTTGTATTTTTTCTGGACCGTTCATTTGAATAGACAAAATATATTTTTGTACCACGTTTTTATGCCTCAGTTAATACATAATAATTTAATTAGAATTAAATTAGTGCGCATAAACATTTGTGTTAAAAAATTGTTATTCCGGAATTAGAATTTAATTCAATTTGAAGAACCTAATTAAATAGGTAATTTGCATGCGTATTAACGATTGTACAATACACCTAAACGTGGTAAATGAGCATTATCTTGCTGAAAATTAGAAACCGATTTGTATGAACCTTAATTCAAGATTTCCTTAATTCACATTTTTCGCACGTATGGATGTAATTAATGTGTATTAATTTAGTTTAATCGGTTCTACAAATATAATTAACTTTTTTTTTTGTATTTGACCCCAAAATTGATAATGCATATAAACTTAATTCATATTAAGTTAATGCGAATTATACGTAAGCTGCGTGTAAACTGCTTACATAAACTAAATAAACATTATGATTCGTTTATATGTAATTGTTAATTCACATTAAATTAATGCGAATTAACTAGTGCATGAATGTGTAGTAATTATTGAGGGCGACAGCCGACAGGAATACCTAATGTATTTCAGCAATGCAACAAATCATAATAATTAATAAATTATAAATTATAAATTGACTATATATTTATACCACAATTTACATTGAACTGATAAGGTCCAAGTTATTACTGTGTTTACATGTACTAGTAAAACTGATTTATGTTTATTACCTGTAAATAATTATAAATATAAACAAATTACAAATTCATTTGTAACATGAATTTTGTTGGCCGTATCTTTGTCATATTATTGATTAATCAATCATTAATATGTTATTCTTATTGTTATTACAATTATCATATAATTAAAATATTTTTTTTTAATATATTATTCTCATTTTTTTCTATCGATAATTTTGTTAAGTTTTTTTTATATCGTATTGTTGTATACTTTGTTTTTTCCTTAAGTTATTATTATTTTTATTTTTTTTAAAGAGAAATTTTGGTTTTAGAACTTATGCTATTACATCCTGAAAAATGACTATTGTATGGAAATATCAAGTAAAGTGTTATTTTTACTTAGTTATCCACTTGTTGTTTGACTTTCTGTTGCTTAAAAATTATTATTTTAAATTATGCGTTGAGCGTTCCCTTACTTATTACTAATTGGGATCAAAACATATTCGCCGTTCTATTAAATGTTAAATACAAATTTAAAGGAACAACTATTTAACAATGAAATTCATTTTTCCTCGTTTAAGTGCATAATTAACATTTAAGCTCTGTTTAGGCTAAATTAGTCTAGTCTATTATCATAGTGTCATTCCGAATTATATTTAAATAAACTAATACAATTTTACTTTCCACTTGAAAACGGATAAAATTTTAATCATTTTTAGACAAATCATAAATTGCCTACTCAAAACGCCTTAAACCTTCTAAGCGTGGCCAACTACTTTTACAAGTTCCATCAGTATAAGTGCGAAACAAATGCTCCAAAAATTAATAATTTATTATTAACCAAATCAATTACCTCAGTTCCAAAATGTTTGTTTTACTAAAATTAAAAATAATATTATTTCACTAGTGTGAAGTAAATAATATAATATTTTACGGACTATATTGAACTCTATTTTTTTAATGATTATCAACGCTATTGCCTGTAATTTGTAAATAGGATGATTTTATTTTTGTCTAAGCTGACAAGATTTATCTAAGAGATGCTTGAAAAGGTTTAGGCGATTATTACCATAATATAATAATAAGTAATAATTACTCAACAATAATTCTTTTTTTTATTTGTAGGTAGGCAATTTGTAATCTGAAAACACAAAGCAGTGTCGCCTCATAGGATTATTATCAAGTAGATGGTAACACTGTTAAATGTCACAACCATACGAAAATGTTCGTTCATGTTGTTTACATGTTTCGGTCTTTTTATCGCGTTTCTATCGTTTCTCTTTCGGTGATGGTTCACACTTCATCCGTCGTCATAATAATTTAGCTGCTAGCTGTTTGCAACATATTGTTATTTCAGATTTGTTGACTGTGGTAGGAAATCTTAATTTCTAATTAGAAATAGCATATTGTGAATGAGGAAAACGTGACTTCGTAACGGGTTTCAGTGCTTCTAACGGACTTGGCTACTTCAATGGGTGAGTAAGGCATGAGTTTTTCCACTGATAAAAATCTCATTTATAAAAAAATACATTGCCTATTATAATGATGTTTCGATTGTCAGGAGAAACCGAACTTCTGGACTGAATAAATGACACCGACTTGATCATGTCGGTTCACTACAAATTTAAATCGGCCATTTCATATGATACTATTACTTTTGATGGTCTGCACATATCTGTTAAAGACCTAAAGAAAGCGATACTTCATCAAAAACAAATTGGGAAAAACACAGATTTTGATTTGCAAGTTACTAATGCGCAAACCAATGAAGGTAAGGTCATTGCAACAGTATTGTTATTATTATTGTAGTGTTTGAAGAATGTTTTGGTTTGCAAACAACAACTACCTAGGTATGACTGTTGAGTTCAATCTCAAGGATGAATAATAACCAAATATAACATGCAAACAATTAACTATTAAAAAAAAAAATCATTGTTAAAGTATAAAAGTACTGTTAAAAGGATACCACGAGGCGAGCATAGATGTATTTACTTAAGAAAAGAAAAAATGATTATACACATTTTTATTTTGCTATTTTAATAACCTCCTTTTTGGGTTTATTTATGGACACGAGTTACATTTTAATAGCCATTATATTTATTTTTTAATTTATAACTTCATACCTCAAAAACATTATTACTTGTAATTAACATTTTTATGATTTTATTTTATTACAAAGTTATTATAATAGTTTTTATACTGTTTTAAACCTGCAAATAAAAATCTGAGTCTATAAGTTAAAAAAGGTTCTTAATCTTTACCATTATTGTGGCACAAATACATTTTTTTACATTTTTAACGTAATTCAAGTGCAATTGATGAGTGGGATACTTATCAATGAGCTCTAAAGGTTGAAATAATGTTTTCAGATTTTTATTTTTTCCCCTTAGTCTTTCTGTTTGCACGTCAATTTTGTAATTACATAGAAAAATATACAATAAGTTCCTAATTAAGCTTACTACCAGTAGAGTCTGATGCAAAACCAATTATATACTTCTCGAATATTCATTATTAGATTGGTTTTTTTTTTTGTTTGATAACATGATTAAGGATTTCTATGTACATTTTTTTAGAAATAACCAATATTCATATTCTATATTAGGATCAATATTATGCGTATTTTTACTTTATTAGGTTTTATCTATAATTAAAATAGTAGGTATTTATCGCCAACTTGGTAGCTATAATTTATAACCCAATAAAACATTTATTTATCTTTTATTACAAGTAGCTTATAGATTACACAGTTCTCGTTATGAAACATAGGTTTTGTATTACTAGGTACCATTATTACATAAAAGTAACATATATAGTAATTATTACAAGAGAATTGTATGTGTTCAATTGTTTTAATTGCTGAATATACAATTGCAAAATTGTTTTTTTTATTAATTATCAGAAAATGGCCAATTTTGTTTTGTAAATTTTATTTTCATTACAAAATCCCTTTTTTAGTTAAAAATAGCTTTCTATGTGATAGTGTTAATAACCATTAGTTTTACCAATAGAATTGATAAAAATAGACATTTATTTGGACCAAAGTTTACTACAAATTAAACATCAAGTATTTTTTTCAATGTAGCCTTACATTTTTTTTAGTGAATTTGTGTACTTAATTTGAGTATAGTAAACAACATGAAATATTTTTTTATTGACTTAGTACACATATTTTTTATTTGTGCTTGTTAATATTTTGGCTGCAATATTGAAGCCAGAAAGGCATTATTTTTACAATGATGTGTGAATATTAGTTGAAAATAAGAGCTGATTAATTTTCATTTTGTTTGTAGAATTGACTGATGAGCAGACTTTAATTCCAAAAAATACATCATTGATTGTTTCAAGAATACCACTTACAACGCAACAAAAAAAAGCATGGTATGAAACATTCCTTCAAAAAACACATAAATATTTACTGCCTTAAATTAAATGTATTTTTAATAAATATATATTTTTTTAGGGAAAGAGCAGAGCAGAACAATCAGCTTGTTCTTTCTAAACAGGTATATTATTTAATTGAACTTTTGTGAACTTTAAATTTAACCCACATGACCTTATTATTTTTTAATTTTATTTGTTTAGATATCAAACTTGGATTCTCATGAACCAGATGTAGTTAAACTCAAGGTAAACACATTTTATCATTACATACTTTACATATTATAATATGGTCTTGATAATTTACAGGGAGCTGATTTACTTGGATCAAATGCTAGTGAAGAAGATAAAATTAATGCTATGATGGCACAATCTACTCTTGAATATGATCCTTCAAAGTAAGCTTGGAAATGTAATTTTTAAATTGTTTAAAGTTTTACAGTGTGTATTTTTGTTTTAGTTTTGTAAAAATTCGAGGAGGCAATCAGTATGGTGAAGTGCCGCCAAATTATGTTTGCCACAGGTGCCACAATCCTGGTCATTGGATAAAGAACTGTCCTAACAATAATATTGCTTCAGTATGATTATTTATAATAAAAATATTAAAACGATAAGTATAACTAATTATACACTTTTTGTTTTTTAGGATCCTATTGACATAAAAAAAGCTACAGGTATTCCAAGAGGCTTTTTAGTGCCAGTTGATGGCCCATCAGTACCCGGAGCAATGTTAACTGGTATGGGAACCTTTGCAGTTCCTAGCATTGACCAGTACGTTCAAGAATTATATTTTCATTAATAAGTCAAGCCTCAAACATTTTTATTTCAAGGGGAATAAAAAGCAATTGATATATGAATTTTTCAAGTTAAATAACTCCGTTATAAAAAAAAATATAATTAACTATATATTAAGCATTACAATCACAACCTGATGAAATTTAGTAATACATTCTAAAATTTACTAAATATTATTATTATAAATTAACTATTTTTATTGATATTTCATATTTAAGAAAAATGAATGAATTGTATGCCATAATAATTATTGAAAATAATCTGCTACAACTCTTTAATAAACTCAATATTATTTAAACAATTAGCATTTGTTTTCTCCTGAACATTTTATGATGCTTTATTACAGATTCTCTTCTTTATGATTATGATATTTAAAAGTTACATATTATTTTCTGGTCCATAGACACTCTTGCAGAATTTAATTTCTTTTTGGTAATTTTTGGTAATCTTTTTGGGTAATTTTTTTAGGTATTGTTTTGAATGTGTGGGATTTTTCATGGAACCAAAAAGAAATTTGAGTGTTCGAGATTTGACTGTACATTTAATTAAAAATTGTTTAAAAATTAATACTTTGTTTTTAGGGAAGCATATAAAGAGAGTATGAAGCCACATCATAAAAAACAAAAAGCCGAAGTGGAAAAAGTAGTAATACCAGAAGATTTACTATGTAGTTTATGTTCTGATTTACTCACTGATGCTGATATGATGCCATGTTGTGGAACGTCATTTTGTGATGAATGTAAGCTTAAAAGTTGAATTGTATTTTGTTAAGAAAAAGTGTAATATTTATTGTATTTTTAATATACATGTAGGCATTCGTAATGCACTTATGGAATCTGAAGAAAATGAATGTCCAGATTGCCACGGCAAAGAAATATCACCGGAAACATTAATACCAAATAGATACTTGCGGAATGCTGTTAATAGTTTTAAAGACAAGACTGGTTATAGTAATAAGCGTATAGAATCTATCCTAGAAAAAGTTGCACCTAATAAAGTTCCAGCGCCTGTAGTTCAGGTTGAACAACCTAAAGAAGGTAATTTACATATTATATTTATTAGCTTTTTTATAGGCTATAGCTGAGCATGCCAGTTTTAAAAAACAAAGTAATTAATTACATTTTTCTTGCAAATTTATGTTTTCATTAGTATTTTAAAATAAATGTCAAAAAAAGTAATCAATTTTGCATTTTAAAAAGTTAAAAATTAAGTTGATCATAGATTTTAGATTATTTAAAAATAAATGTTTTAAATTAAATTAAAAAAAGATTCGTATGGCTGTTTGCAGTAACTATACTACCACTACTAAAGTGTGCTAAAATGTAAACTACCTATACATCGTATGTACAACCAAACGGCCATTAATTAATAATACTTGAACAAATTTGTTCAACATTTTAAATATTCTAAGAAAACCATTTGACAAATTATTTTGTAATCTAAAACTACAAATAAAGGTTATACAGCCTAATTATATATAAAAATAACAAAATCTCTTTGAATTTTAAAAGTAAAGTACATCAAACATCATGATTACTATGAAAACTACACAATATTGAATTAGTTTACTTATAAATTTGTATTCTTAACATTTATTGATGCTTTTTTTGGAGGTAATAACTTGCGCTGTAGTCTACTGTATCACTGACTACCCGACTGACCGGTCTCAATAAATTATGGCTTTAACAGCTAGTATACTTAATTTTCTGCCTACCTAGTATATACTTATATGATTCATCTAACTTCCAATGGAATTTGTTTGAATCCGATGAGCATGATTCAGCCTTATTTAAAGTTATACTTGATTTTATTTTCATTTTATATTGTCTTCGTCATACTTTGTTGGCTTTGTTGGCATACTTTGTTGGCTATACAGTCAATATTTTATATCAAGCACCTTGTGCCTACTGTGATCTTATTTGTGAATTCTGTATGCTGTTGAATACATATTTATAATAATAATCTTGATTAATTAATCAATTAACATACCTGGTTTTTTTGTAAAAATATTTTCGTTAAGTACATTTTTTGTTATTTCGTCAAATTATGCTTTATTGTACAATTTTATCAATGAGGAATTTAATTATCTGTTGAGATGAATGTATGGAATTGATTTGGTTAGACAGAATAAGGAATTAAAAGTATGTTTGTGAAAATAAGAAAGAAATAGATTAAGAAACCATTTTAATCTGAGTGTATGTTAAAAGAAAGAATAAAACATGTGAGAGATTTATTAGTATAGAAGAATTTAAAGGACCAGTTGATCTAAGAAAAGTTTTATGAATGTAATGTGGTCTTTTGCATTGAATAAACCAAAGAAGATAATAAGATCAACAACTAAGTTTTAATTGATGTTAAAGATGAATGAGCATTATGCTATAACTTTTGTATAATATTTTATTACACACATTTTTCAGTAGGAAATTAATGATAAACTTTAAAGTTTATAATTGTTGAAAACAATAACTAAAAACTACTAGTTAAATTCCTTTTACAGTCCGAACAGATGACCAAATCTTTGCATGCACATTCTGGAAATATTTTAAAGTAAAATCTATATTTTTTTTCAATCCTACTCCGAATTGATTCCTATGGCTTTTCTCAAATTGTTTTGAAAGTTATGTTTGCATTTCATCATCGGGAATTTACCTTTCAGAAGTGACCATTCCAGCTAGTATTCAATTGCCTACGTCATCTGACTCTTTAGTTGAAGGAAGCAAAAATGAAATTTATCAAAAAATTGCTGCTGTTGGTGACCCTGTTGATAAAAATCAGCATAAAAACTACTCAGAAATTGGGACAATACATAATTCACACAATCATACTTTCAAAGCCCAAGGTCAATCCCAAGTGCAGTCTCAAGCCCCACCATTATCTGCAAGCACTAATAATCGACCGAATAATACAAATATTCATATACCTATGAATAATGCATACCAAAATGTTCGCCACCCTATACCGAAGTCAGCAGAATCTCGAATGACTCATTTAGCACGATTCAATTCCCAGTCCATGTCTATCCCTCCACATCCTCATTTACGCCCTTGTTTGTCCGTAGGACCTGCTGATATAACTGTTCCACCGCCTTCTTACGGCCACCAAACTAATATTCAAACCGATGTTGGTTACAATCAAATGCAACCGTAAGTATTTTGATTAAATGTAAAACAATTAAAAACTAGGTATGTTTTTATTTATTACTTTTTTTTTATATCTTTATAGTGTACATAATCCTCCACCTCCTGGACTAGACCGAAATAGCAGCCCTGCCAATGTGTCGTCCGATGAAGGAATGCTTCCTCCAGAATCATCTCATCATCAAATGGACAAATTCAAAAACCCAAGTGGGTCGCTTCCGTCTTTGATGAGAACAGACTACTCTGGTGGTAAATAAATTTCTAATGTCTAATTATCTGCTAAAATAAGTTGCATCATCATAGCTTAAAGATACAAAGCAATTATAATTATAAGTTAATAAAATGTTAATATTTATATTTTTTCATAGTTTATTATCCTCCTCCACCAATGGCTGGATATGAACAATACCCTATGTCTGTAGACATAAGAAGTCGAGGTGGTTACCATCGAGGGAGTTATAGAAGACCTCGCGGTCAACATATTGGTTCCAATTATCGTCCTGAATATCGTAATGGTAGTCCCTATATGGGGTAAGTTAACCTCTGGTTGTTATGTTTTTTGTAGGTAATCAAATAGTTGTTAAATTTAGTTTATAATATGATAACTTCATTTTTTTTCAGAGGAAAGAGAACTATAGATGATCCATTAGCAATGTTTCAGCGAATATTGCGTGAGCGTGATAGTAAAAGACGCGATTTAAGAGGTCGGCATTCTTTATCGCGGTCTAGGTCTCGTTCTTTATCCAGATCTCCATTATCTAGGTCTAGAGAACGTTCCCGTAGTCTGAGTCGCTCACCACCCCGTATTATGAAACGTAGAACTCGTTCAATATCAAGGTACCTATTGAACCTTATTAAATTAATAGTTTAACAATTTCCATATAATTTTGTATTTCTTACTTTAGATCACCACCTCCGCGTAACCGATCAATCAGTCCTAGGCGGCGAAGTCGTACACGTTCTCGAAGCCCGATGCGTAAGCGTAAGAAGAGTTTAACGCCTTTAAAAAGAGCCCCAGGAAAATCTAGACGAAGATCTCGTAGTCCAAGTCGTGATCCACCTGGTCGCAGGTCAAGATCGTTATCTATACATAGAAGGTGTGTAGTTACATGATTTAAAATATGTTCACATATTTTTGTTATAAAACTTAATTTTAACATTTCAAATCATTGTTAGGTCTCGTACAAGATCTAGATCTCCTGTTCATAGAAATAGAATGTCACCTTCACCACGTTTTAAATCAAGATCACCATCATTTTATACTTCACCAACAAAGTATGTTTTTATATTTTATAAAATAAGATTTATTTTTCAGTCTATCTTATGGAACTAAATCAGTAATCTAATTGCGCTTAAACTTAATTATTAGGTATAGCAATTATCCTAGAGAAGAGGAGAATTATGGGACTAAAGGAAGTAATTGGCGTGGACGAGGTGTTGCTTGGAATAGAGGAAACCCACCTTACCATCAAACACACAGGTACAGTTTTGTTGTAAATGTTATTGCAGTATCTAGTACCGATAGTCAGTTCATATTCGAACACTGTAGTATGCCAGAAGAAAATCCAATTAACTATTATGAACATATGAATTTTTTTCATTCATAATTATTCTTCAACCTGTGGCTATCATTTTATAGTAAAAATATTTTAGGTGTTACATATTTTTCTCATTATATTATATCAATCGGATCTGTGATACAATAAAGTGATATTTTAATAATTAAGATATTTGTGATATTGAAATGTTCATAGTTTAGTATGGCACTGTGTCAATCTGGCTTCATTTTTTTTAAAACTATTACTCTTAAATTTTGTTAAACAATATTATTTTACTGTTGGATGTATTTTACTTTTGAATATTTTATCTATTTTTAAACATTTTATATATTTTTTATGTGCTGTATCATTTTGTATTTTAACAAACATATATATTTACCTTGGCTATTGATGCATATATCATAGCTGCAATGCCTTAAAATTATTTTAGTTGTTTTTTCATAGTTTAATTTTTAATTATTTTATTACCAATTTTATCTTATAACTTGAAATTTCTTTGTAACTATAAAACACTGAATTATACACATAAATATTTATTCAATATTTCAATTTTTAAATAAAATATATTTTATATACATACAATGTATATAAATAAAATCATAATTTGAAAACAGTTTGAAACTGATAACTAAAAAAAAAAAAAAATGGAATGATCATTAAACTTATGTATGTTGTTTTAATACTAAATTTTTTTCGAAAACTTAATTTCTGTGTGTATAAATATATAATGGCATAAAAAAAATGTTCTTGGGTTTTGGATGACAACAGCAGTCGTTGGTACTTAAAGCCTTAAAAAATATAACTTTACAGATTAAATAGTTGAAGAAATGTATTAAAAAAATTGGGCTGGTAAAAATTATTTTAAATACCAAAAATTATCCATTTTTAGATAAATATTTGATGAAATTTTATCAAAACATTTAAAATGTATCCTATTTTTATTTTTTAAATTTACTTTAATTGTTATATATTGCTTAGTAGTTATATTATTAAGCTATTAAATTTAGCTAAGATGTTTCTAAGTCAAATACTAATGTCGGAAAATTGACAAATGTTTGTAAAAAGATGTTGTTCCTATTGAAAATGTAATTTAAAGTCTGTAAGTGAAAAAATAGTTTTAGGTAAAGTATTATTTAGGTAAATTTATCTATTTGCTTAATATGTTTGCTCTTTTTTGTTGTTATTTAGTTTTATATTTATAATGTGATTTTTATTAATACATATGAAGTCTGAATACCAAACTTTGTTATTGACAAATGATTTTACAAAACTTGTTCATTATGTTATCATTTATATTTTTGTATAACAGTTGTATAAAAGCATTGTTACTGTATTTATTTAAATATTTGAATGGGTACACATACACATACATTTTCACTTTAAAGGCTGCAAAGCTATGCCAAGCATGTTAAAAGTTAATTTGTGGTAGGACTGACCAATATTAGTTTAACAACAAGCAGATAATACAATAATTCAATTTGACTCCTATCAAACCATAATATGTTTGATGCAGTTTTACCATACAAAATATATATTATAGTTGCGATTAATTTTTAATCGACTTTTTAGTTGCTTAAATGTCCAATTCAGTATTATACAACATTTCATTCTTTTAATAATTAAATATTTTATATTTTTCTGAACTTAGGTAAGGAATTTTTAACCTTATTGTGTTAATTTATCTTTTTTTTATGTATTGAAATGATTTCTTTCCATATTAACTTGTTGTAACATGAGTTGACATAGTATATTTAATTATAATTTGTACAATTTTACTAATCTAGTCATTTATTTTTGCATATTATTATCGGTTATGTGTTGTTGTATTCCTTAAAATATTTTATAAGTGTTTTTTTGCTGTATGTGATGAAGAAATATTTTTACTTTTATTATTAACTTGTATAATATACAATATTTTTGTTAACTTTTTAATTAGATGATATTAATAGTTTATAGCACAATGACGATTTATTTTCCTAACTATTTCGTTTGTATTGTAATATTTGTTATTTTTTTTTAATTACATAGTGAATTTTAAAAATGTTAAAAACGAGTTGTTAGATTTTAATGTTTTAAAAGGTTTTAATATTTTTAAAACTAAAGGTTTTTTTAATAACAAAATGGCTAGCATATTATGTATAATGAATGTAGGTGTGAAGTGAAAATCATGTTTTCACGGTACAATATTTCTTCATGTAATGAACTATAAATTATTCTTGGTAGTAGTTTGTTTAAAAGGGGCCTTTCAAAAGGGTCACTTTTTTACTTGGTAATTAAAAAAACTTATATTATTGTGTATTTAATTTAAATAATATACAAAATATATCTTATTTTATACTCGAAAAGTATGCTGAACCATTTTTTTTATGCTATAATGAACAGTTAATTGATGTTCTTATAATTATTATATATTAATATTTAATAGCTGTATATTTTTGGCGTCTGGGTAGTATTATAATTACTTTACTTGTTCTCTTCCTATTAAAATATATATCCGTCTTCTCTTTTGCTTAAATATTGCTCTTTCTTCCATTTGCCATTCCGTTGGGAAAGCGCTGCGGTTCCAGTCAATGTTTGGAATCACTTTATGAACAAAGGTAATACAAATAAACATGATCTTTTCGCTTTCTAGCCATGCCTTAGTTAACATTTTGGCCTATAAAATCCTAGAAGTTTGCAGGTTTAACAGTAATCGCATATAAATAAAGTAGCAACAACGGCGGCATCAAATGGATTCTACATCTTTAACTGAATTAATAAAACATACGGTGTGCTTATACAATATCAAACGATCTAGATATATGAAGACTTCATGATATCAAGTATTAATATAAAATTGGTCGATTCCTCATCGAGTATTATACACTCGTGGGGAACGCGTTTAATAGGTGCTAATGACATTTTCAGGGTTGCCTTAATAACGTAACTGTTGAAAACACTTGAAATGTCGCAAAAAAGACAATTGCGCATTTTTCATTACTTTTTAATCAATTTTGATGTTAAATTATTTAAAATGTTAAATTTGGGTTTTGTTTTGTTTTCATTAGGTATCAAAGACAGTTTGAAGAACATCCCGGGCATTATGACGTGGCTCTCGATCAGCCTCCCGAGTACGCCGCCAGTTATTCCCAGTTTGATCCTCACTATGCTATGGATCCTAATCTGGTGCGCGACTGGGACGAGATTCGCGACAAAGAAATCCGGGAACGCGAAAAAGAGAAAAAAGAAGAGGAAGACAAAAATAATAAATCCAAAAGCCGAACTCCCGTTAAACATCAAAAGGTCGAGAAACAAAGAACGGAGACCAAGGCGTCTCCCGAGAAAAACCACAAGGATTCGGATAAAAAGGACAAAGGTAAGAGAAAAAAGAAAAAGGACGCCGACGTGGATAAGAAAAAGAAAAAGAAAAGCCGCGAGAAAAAAGAAAAAGAAGACGGTAAGAAAGACGACGACAAAGAACAAAAAGAAGAGGACGAAGAGACCGAAGGGGAGGCGAAACCTAAAGTGGACGATTCAGAACAGGAGAACCGGGAACCAGCCGCCCCGGGAACGTCTGAATCGCCTCCTCCTTTCGTGCACGCAACTCAGGAACCGAAAAAATGCGAAGAAAAAGAGACCGATGAACTTTACGGAGATTTGGCCGAGGGAGCTCCGGTGGATACCAGCTGGGGTAGTTACGCGCAGAGCCTAGACGAGCATACCTTGACTCCTCCCAAGATTTCGAAACCTAATGACGACAAGCCCAAAGAACCGGAAGTGTTGGCCGAATTGCCCGAGCGTTCCAAATGGGAAGAGGAAGATGACACGAGTACGGCAGAAGAAAAATTGATTGACGATAAAATCAAAGAAGAAAGCGACGCGAAGAAAACCGAAACGGCAGTCGACGTTAAACATTGCTCCGTGACCAACGAAGTTCTTAAACGGGCGGAAAACGCTATTTTCCAAAAAGTCGTTAGGACTATAGACGGTAAGAAAACTACTACGGCTGACAAGTCTGACGCCATCAAAGAAAAGAAGTCCGAACTCACTAAGGAGAAAAGGTCGGATCTCGAAAAGCATACGGTTAAAGATAAGAAAACGGAAAACGCCAGTAAAGAGAAGAAACCAGATGTTTCCAAAGAGAAAAAAATTAACAATTCTAAAGAAAAGAAAGCGGACGTTTCCAAGGAGAAGAAATCGGAAAAAAAAAACAGGATAATGGAAGAGACAAAAAGACTGATGTCGCCAAGGACAAAAAATCAGAAATTATTGAGAGAAAAATGGACGTTTTAACAAAGGACAAGAAATCGGACAGAGATCGCAAGTCTGACGATAGGTCAGACATTAAGATATCTACATCGTCCAGAAGGGATACGTCAAAACACAGGGACAAGAAAGAAGCGGTTGACAGCCTTGGAGATTCGCTGACCATCCAGAGAGAAGCGCGAAAGGCCGGCAATTCTATACAGATTACCATACCGACCGATTCCGTGGATGACAAAAAAGCCAAGGAGATGGTCACCACTAAACGCATATCGGCCAAGGACAGGTTGGGCGAGAAAATAGAAGATAAAGACGACAAGCGGTACAAGTCCAGGCATACGAAACGGAAAGCCTCTAGGTCTCCCATTCGCGTACATTCTACGTTGATCGTGCCTGAACCATTGCCGAGAAAGATCAGGGCGATTTCGAAAAGCCGACAAGACGTCAAGAAAGACCGAAGTGATCAGAGCGCCAACCAACGCCTTTCCAGGTACGAAGACGATAAAAAACCGGCGCAAAACGACCGGAAGAAGGACGAAGGTCGAAGGATCGTGACCCGGGTGGACGACAAACACCACAGGTCGACCACGGCGGAGCCTAAGAAAAGCGTTGCGACGTCCAAGAAAGACGATCGGCTGGACAGGGCGAGAGAAGAAAAGCGGACGGTCAAGGAAGACAAACGGGAAGTGACGGTCAAGAAAAAGGCGAAATCGGTCGAGAGAGAAAAACAACCGGAAAAGAAGGAGCGCAAGAACCGGCGGCTGGAGTCGGATCGTAACGAGACGGAACAGGACGACGACGAGGAGGAAGTGCCCAAGAAAGTAGTTAAGGACAAGGACTCGGACGAGTCGAACGACTCGACGTCGAGCAGTTCAAGTAGTTCGTCCGATTCGTCACCGGTGAGGACGAAAAAGAGAAAGAAGAATAAAAAACAAAAAAAGAAGAAACACGCGAAGAAGAAGAAGGCCGTGGTTAGCAGTTCGGATTCAGATTATTCGGATTCGTCCTCCGAGTCCGAAGACGATAGCACTAAACACAAGAAGAAGAAAAAGAAAGAACACCGCAGCAAACACAAGGCGCATAAAAAAACTATAAAGAAAAAGAAAAAGTCCAAACACAAGTAGGGCGACTGATCTAAACAAACTGTCGTGACCAATACGCTATATGCCAGTATTGTATGTCATTAACCTATCCGACCGTTATTCTTGTATGTTCTATGAAGTTTGACTTTTTTACATTATTTGTTTTGCTCAGTATGTAATAACGTTTTAATTTTGCGTTTTTCCTGGATAAACTGTTATTGTTAGGACGTTTCTCTATGTTTAAGTTAGTACATCACTGGCGTTTTTTTTTTAAAAAATGATACCATAATTTTTTTTTTTTTGTAAATATCGAACAGTAACAATTGTGAAATAACGTTGTAAAACGTTTCAAATAAATCTTGTATATACTTCATATAACATTGGATATTTTGCTTTTAAAAAACATTTTTCCCTTGTAAGTCCTAATTACATCGAGTTAAATTTTGAAAATGTTAATAGGAATACATTTTTATTAATATTGCTCAGAAAGATATTATACATGTGTTTTTATATTGTTTTTTGTAATAAATTAAGATTATATGATAAAAAAATGGCAGTAATAATGTGGTTTTCTAAATTTCGTATTTTAATGTTCAGGTAGTTTGTTTTAAAATTTGTCTTTATCTGTAAGGCGAAGATAAATAAGAAGGTAGTTTGTTTTAAAATTAAGTGTTGAGATCATTTTTAAAAATACTCAGTATTCAAAGTAGCAAATTTAACTATTATGTTCATAAATCATAATATAAAGCCTGTATGGCATGTGTGTACGTTGAATCTTAAAAGTTTAGGAAATTTGCCTCAGCGATGTTGTAAACGACAAAATTAATCACTATAAAACGACCCATCGATCATTCTACGAATTAAATTAATTTTCTTTTTTAAGTTGATATAATTTTTAGTTATAATCATTTTGGTACTTAAAATACATTACGTATTACTAATTTTACTGACGTCGCACTTTTTGAAAATTATCTATTGGAGTTTCTTTATGCTTTGCTTTGCTGGCCTTGTTGCATTATTGTTGATAGGTTTAACCGTTTAATGACACGTCACACGTAGCTCATAGCTGATAGTGCAATTTGACGTCTGGCTGTGTACCTAGGTAGTGGCATTGATTATACAATATACTATAGTATACTTAAAGTATGAATAATCAATGGTAATAGGTACATAAATTATTATTTATTTTGGTCGATAAAACGAGTTAGACCGTTAAAAATGTTTGACGGCGCCAAATCGTTTGTTGCCTACATAATTGTTATATTTTCTAAAAAAATTACAAACTCAAGAGTCAAGTACCTTGTAGGTGTACAACTATTATCGTCTTACAAGTTACAGTAGATTTAGCGCACCTGGAAAATAGTTTCTCATGTTTAAAGCGATATCTATAGATAAACATTTAACATAACATTTTTTTTTAACGAATCAAACAACTGATTTTGAGACCGACCGCATTACACGTACACGTACTACATTAAGCTATTTATTCAGCTGTTGGTTAGGCCCAGCTTGTTAATCAAAATTTACAAAATAATTTTATTCCGTTAAATCGACCATGTAGGAATAGTCAAAGCACAACGTTTACGACCGGCTGTTGTGAATAGGCTCGAGACTCGAGTTTAGTTTTAGATTTTAGTGCTTTTTTTTTTAATTTACATAAATACCTATTGATTTTTGTTAATAATAATAATTAAAATAATGAATACTCTGTTCTTAGCCATTTGTCTAGCGCAATACTTCAATAACATCGGGTCGCATTTTTTTCCTAAGCAAATGAATCCCATGTTGAAATCGCTTGTGGATATGATGATGTCTCAACGATATTTGCATGATACGCCTACATGCGCGCTTATGGTAAAACCAACTTATTATGTTATGATAACCTAATGTAATCTTTATTCATTGTATATTGTAAGCAGGGTTGGCCTGCCTGGCATTTAACACAATACGTGGGATTTGTTAAGGTAAAAAAACTATAAAGTGTACAGATAAAATTGTCATTGAGAGCCCTTTAGAGATTTAGAATCCGAGGTCCTTTAGGCGCCAGGCCGACCCTGCTTGTAAGTATTTTTTTCAGCTTAAAGTTGTTTTTGTTTATATCATATCAACTTACACTATTATGCATAACATATACGCTTAAGGCGCACGTACATGTTTTTTAGTGTGCTCAGGCCTTAGGTACAACACGCGTCACAAGTGTGCACTATACAATTATACAAACCTCGTAAGTAGTTGTTGGTAAACAACTGCCATTGAAACAGTTTTTTCAATAGAGCATATTATACTGTGTAGACACTTGTAAATTGGAAAACAGTCATTTACGAGGCTACCCTTGGCTATCTATAACATAGTCATTTTTAGCATAGCAACAATATATCCATTTTATCATGCAATACCTAGCGCATCTATACTCAGAAATGGGCATTTTTTCTTCAAATAATTACTTTATTTGACCATATCTAAGATGATTTATCCGAATAAATTATTGGAATAAAAATATTATTCGTCGAGTATTCGAATAAAAATATTATTTAAATAATTATATAGATAAAAAATTATCTAAATAATGCCCAACTGTATAAACTATATATGTATTACTATTGACCTATTTGGTATAGTGGAGCTGCTTCCCACGATATTTTTTTTATTACAATTTGCATACAACTATTAAAAAAAAAATTCTTGACGATTCTATTTAATAATATTAAACAACTTTACTATATAGTCTGATATTTATAGTAAAATAAAACCTTGCAACCTTGGCCTTATGAAAATGTCCAAACTTTAATTTATTTTTTTAAATTTAACTTCTGGAAAAATAATCATAATACGTACAGCTATAGTAAGGATGTTTTTTTTTAAGGAGTTTTCATAAAATATTTGTTAAAATATAAACTTATAGATTATTTATCAGCCTTTTAAAAACTTTTTTTGTAAATAAAATTAAAAATATAATTTCTTGTACTTAATTATAGGTATTGTTAGGTTAATACTCGAGTCGTACGGTAACATTTAAAATTAATTCAAGTGTTTAAAAAAACGAGACATGACAAGAGTATAAGTTAGATACAAGCCAACGCTTATAAATTTGCGTTTACTTTGAAATACTCGAATACCTGTACGTAATAAAACTATTTTGGCGCGAAAAACAATTTCTACCGACTCATATGGTTGGTTCATACCGTGAATTTGTATATACCCTAATTTGTGTTTTTTTACAATTTCCTTGGAAACTCGTAGGCGTGTGATCGCATGGTTGTTATGATGATAATTGAATTTTTCCATATCACTTTTGGGTTCTTTGTGAATGGTCTCCCGCCGGCCACTTAGAACCTCCCCCTCGTTTTCGTGACGTGATACAAGAACTCTGATCAATGTCTGCTGTCTAGACTCGTAGTGTGTACTATCAGCGGTGCGCAATTAACTATAAAGTAAAATTACAAAATTTCAGTGTTTTCCATTCGAGTTACGAGTTTTAACTATCAGAAATTTAATTGACGCCATATAAAAAAAAGTAATTACTTGTCGTATTTCAATCGATCTCACATTGCTCATTCGTGTGAAAAATTAAAATCGCTACCTATCATTTCTTTAACATTATTTTTAACTTTGGTCATTTAACATAAATTCTTTGGTGAGTGTCCAATTAGAACACTAGCTATTAGGTATACGTTTTTGGTTGAATTGACTTGGTATCCACGTATTTCAATTTTGGGTTTAGGATTATTGTTTCTCACACTATCATTTTCTATAGAATGTTTTTTCCATTGACATTGTTTATTATTGTATTACTTTTGTTGGTTACCCTTAGCGCAATAAAGAGTTCTCTGCAATGGGTGAAGCTGGTGAAGACGTACAACTCTATGTCTATGATCTGACAGGAGGAATGGCTCGAATGTTGGGACCATCGCTACTTCGTAAGTATTATTATGAAGTTTTAATAAAAACCCAATAACAATTTGATTTCTTACACCACATTTTTTGCAGAGAGAGACTTGGAAGGAATTTGGCATAGTGCGATCGTTGTGTTTGGAAAAGAATACTTCTACGGTTCCAGTGGTATTAGCATATGTCAACCGGTAAGTACACTTAAAACAAATATATAAAATAAAAGTATATATTTTAAACATTTCATACGGTTTTAAGACTTAAATTTTACTCGATCCATTAACAATATTTTGTTTGCAAAAATGTGTGATTTTTATTTATGCAAAATGTTTTTATTTTAAATTGTATACTAAAAAAATGCATTAATCGTTTGCAATTCGTAATTCTATCACATAATAATTAATGCAGTTATAGATGAAAAAAATGGTTTCACCATGATTTAGTATTTTATGAGACATATTAATGTCTTGTTTGAAGTTTATTATTATAATTTTTTTTTTAAATCTAACACCAAACTAAGTATAAGATTATTTCAAAGAATTATAGCCTATAAATGTAAAATTATAGATTTCTAATAGTATTCAAACTTGGCATTGATCCATTTTATAATCTTAAAATCTAATTTTATTGCTACAAAGAAAAAGCAATACAAAAAAAATAACATTTTTTTTTTATGAAAACACCAAAATAGTTAAATCATATTTAGTAACATTGTTTTCTTTATTGTTTTTTTATAGTTATAATTATATTAAATACTATATCAAATTTCATATTTTGCCACTTAGTAAACTATTGAAATAATTTATTATGATAGCAATTCCTATTAACCATATTTGAATGCTATTTTTAGTGGAATATCCTTATATTTTTGTGTAAATAAACCTATTATATTTATTGTACAACTTGTTTTGCATTTCTAAAAGTAAATTTTAATTTTATGTGTTATTTTATAATGAATTGCTTAACTTGTTTATAATAATATGTTAGACCGCTAATTGATAGAATATAAATCCTAAGCTGCTTATGTGTATGTCGTGATCGTAACACAGGAGTAAACCATTACAAAATTAAAAAAATCAATTTTCTATGCTCGAAACATTTTTTTAAATATTCATTTCAGTCGTTATGTCTTAATTTTTGTCAAAAATTAGAATTTTATATTTCATTTATATATAAATTTAGAATACTTAATAATAGTAATAATATTATAATTATAATTACACATTTTTACCACACAAAACTACTTATTTATACTATGTGAGTTTTGTCTTTTTTATTTAGAGAATTATTTAAACTTTTCAGATAACACAGAAATATAGGTTTATAGGGCTTAGGATGTCTTAGGAAGTCTCATCAAAAGTTTTAATAGCCACTAAAATGTTTACAGTTGATAACCTGTGAATTTAACTTTATAACTGTAGTAATAGATTGGTATTAGAATTTGCAGTATGAGGAGTGCATTATTTTGAGCCTTACTTGACTTTTCTAAAAATCCCCATCTATAGTTTACCACTATTTTATTTAATGTTAGTGTTATTAATTATAATTACTATTTAGTAAATGTAGTGTGCTTGTTTTATGTTCTTATAAAATTTACTACAACTATACATATTTTAGTCTTGAATGATTGAAGTATATTTTTAAAACCTATATTACCTAAATACCAGAATTTTAGGAACACATTATTTTTAAGTAATTTTTTAATTTAAGTACTCAAATTGTATACTTGTTTTGATTTAAGTTTTTAAATATTAGTATAACCAGTATACTCATGGGGTTTAGTACTAGGAATTGACATTTCTGGTAATAGAATTGTGGTCCTAGAAGGTAAGTTGTTATTGGTTTTTATTTATTAAAATAGAAAGATGTTTTATTTATAGACATCCCAATTCACATTTTATGCTTGTATAACTTTAAAGTATATACTTTAAATAAAACAAAAGTATTAATAAATATCAGATACTTACCAGTGTAAATTATTATTATTATGCATTAAATACAGTAAGATACAATATAAAATGTGTTAGAAAAAAAAATTGAATTACAAGAATACAAAAATAGATAAAAATGTGTTTAAAATACTATAATGTATTATAATAAATATCTTAATACTAGGTTTTGTATTTTTTTTTTAACTTGTTTGACAGATGTTTGAATGGAAACTTAAAAATAATGTATATCTGTTAAATTTCTAATTTAGGTCAATAATGCTCGCTATTATTATACAGATTATTGCTTATTTTTAAAAAAAATCGTAGAGAAAAAATCAAACTAAATCATTGTACTAAAAAAAATTAAGAATTGTTTAAGATAGAAATTCTTAAAAATTCTTAACAATGTATTAAATTTTTTTTGTATATATATATCATTTTTTTATGCTCAGTAGTATTAATATTTGTAAATATTTATTTTTACTATTCCATATAAGATTCAGGCTTCAGGAATCGAACAGCAGTGTTCTTAGTTTTTGTTAAGGGGCCTCTACACTAACTAACATTTATTGAGGCGCATTGTGTAGGCAATTTTTCAATAAAATAACATTAAGCCTAAATTTTCAAACTCGTATAATAACATAGAAAAGAGTTTGGGTTAGGTCTTTTTTTTACAACTTTTGTAAAGCATATAGGACTTTTTTTTGTACAAAAACATATGTTTCTACTTCCTGCAGTATGTTTCTAAAAATACTCCTATATAAGTTTTGAAAAAAAAACATTTGAATTCTTCATTACATTAATAATTTATCGATCGTTGCACAATTTGAAAATTATATTAAATTAATTAATCCAAGTGGAAAATTGCATTTTTCAAAGTTTTTTTAATAATTGTTTACAATTATATTAAAAAGCGAAAATTAAAAATGTGCTTCGATACATACATCAAGCAAGTATCGAAAAATCTGTATCTGTTTTCAAAATTATTGTCGGATTATGCGTTTTAGAGTACAGTTAAAATTAGAATAAGTTGTTTTCGACCGGAAATACGCAAACGTTGTGGGCATTTAATGTGATCTATGTACAGTAATTAAATAAGATATCCTAGGTATTTTTTATTTGTCTGGATTCGTTAGTTTGTCCGAATTCACAAACGATTATTGCGAAGGCCCTCAAAATCGTTGTGCCCTCTGACTTTTACAACTATTTTGATCTGCTTGAATCGTCTATGTAAACACATGTGCGATAGGATAGTTATCCCAGCGCTGAAACGAAGTAGGTATACAAGTAGGAAATATTATATTATAGTTTATAAATTCCGATTATCGCCGCAACGTTGGCGTGCATATTGTGTCTTATTTATCGTGTTACGTCGTTGTCTAAGATGTGAAAAAACATCTCGGCTCGGACGTTATTTTGATATCATTCCAACTCGAGTGTCCGACTGTGCGTTGATCCCACTCTTTGAGTTCTAAAAATACTCGGCGTGAGCGTGTGCTTGCATGTGTATAATATGTCGATTGACCAAGCCTGCTACCGTTTTCCGAATTCTTTCGAGCAGAAATATAATATGTTACATTGTGTAGTACAACCAATCGCACGAAGCTCGTGTTTAGGAGTTATTCGCTTGCGTTTCGCCGTTAACGTCTGCCTTTTGTTTTTGTCTGTCTTTTTTTAGGGTACGACGGCCTTGGGCAGTCCGTTGCGGATACACAATTTGGGCAGGACTTGTTTGCCGGAAGACGTGTACCAAGAGTATCTACGCGGCCTGGAACAAGACCGGTTTAAGTAAGTTCTGGCCGCGGGCAACCCGCGACGTTTTTGTTAGCAATAACGTTGTACTTAACTCCATTGACGTTTTCAGACCTACCAACTATAACCTGTTAAAGCACAACTGCAACAACTTTACCAACGAGATCAGTCAGTTCTTGTGCGGCAACCCGATCCCGGAATACATTATAAATCTTCCAAACGAAATCCTCAACACGTAAGTAATTGCACAATAAATGCAAAAAATAATGTATTAAACACCGCTCGGCCTGCTACGCCTTAGTAATGATAGTCTTTATTATTATTTTGTGTGTGTGTGTGACTGATGGCACGAGATATGCGCGTTTTTGTTAACTTGTCTAAAGGACAAAAATAAAATAATAAAAATGGCGAAAATAAAAAAAAATTGTCGAGTTGATAATTTTGGTTAGGTCAGCAATGAGTGAACTACTTTGAGAGTTTTGACTATAACAGAGAAAAACTTATAAAAATAGCCCAATGATGAGGGAAACTGAGCAAAAGTTAATTAAAAAAATAAGTAGAGTATGAACTTTGTCACATATATCATTCATCAAAGATGGGCTTAGTACTCCTGGTTTTGAAATTGACACCCCTATAATTGTTTGTATTCTATACTTTAAGTTGTAAAATATCTAAGTTTGATTTTGTTTTGTTTTTTAGCCCTTTCGGTCAGCAACTTGCACCCGTATTAGAGTTGTTTTCAAACAGCCTAGGCGTACATCCTGGTATCAGAAGATCAGAGTCTGATTTTGAAACGCTCAACAACGATATCGATTCCGCCAGGTACCTATTTCCAAAGCTTTGGCTAACAAACAACACCGTGTTACATCTTAGTGCTGTTTGTTTTACTTTTTGTTTTAACTCTTGTATTTGTAGTATAACAATTTGATTATTTTTTTTAACAATAATAATTGTGTTGTGTGTGTGTTGTTTCAGACATTCATGATACCCGCGGTTTTAGGGGATTATTCACCTTAACGTTTCTATGGCCATGACATTAATTTCAGCTGCTTCCTACGGTTTTCTCAGTTTTTAATTAGTTTAAAATTAATAAAAATTATCAGGGATTGAAAACTTTACCAAGCCAAAATTAACATTATTTGTTATAACTACAATAAATGTTGATGACAATTATCAATAGTATGATATTTTAATAGCTAAACTGGTTTTAGAACTTGTAAAAAAAAACATCAATAAAAAAACATTTTAAAGTTAATTAATTTTGGAATGAAATAAAATATTGTTCTCGGAACAAAAAATTTCTATCGTAGCCAAAAAGCATAAGTTCCTTTAAAATGTTTTTAATTATCATTTTTTTTTTTACAAATACATAGAACATTATACTATTAATAATTTTAATTAATATTTGTTGTAGTCAATTTTAGCTTGCTAACGTTTTCAATTTCTGAATGAAATTACCTAAGTACATTGTGGTTGTTATTGTTTAGTTTTATATCTAATTAGAATTTTAATGTTATAATTTTCACTACGAATGAGTGTCGAACCCCGATCTAACATATATTACATTTAAAAAAAAAAAAAAACACCGTATCATATTATGTAAAATTAATTAATGATACGTTAAAAAATAAACATGATTAAATAAAGTTGTGCATCGTTGTAAAGAATTGTACCAAAACAGTTTGTGAAAATAAATTAATAAAATAAAGCGTATTTAACAAAGAATATTCGTTTTTGTATACAGTATTGTTACTAATGTGTTTTACTTTGATTTAACCCCCGTAGACAATGATAAGACAAGACGTTTTACTGGTTTATTTAATAAATATTAGTACCTATTATTGTTACTTTTGTGTACTGACAGAAAACAGTCGGCGCTTTTAGAAGAGAAGCGCAATAAATTACAGGAAAAATTAGAAAAACGAGAAAAGAGAAAGAAAAAAAAGAAAAAGGATAAAAGCAAAAGTTCCAGCGAACAGCCATCTATAGAATCGGGCCCTAGCTCTAGCAGGTACAAATTATGAATTTTTCACCTGTGTCTTAGAGCACTTGTGGGTTTAGCGCAACTAAATCACGTGACAACATCCGTTAGCTAGCGAGCTCTACAGGGTGAGGTCACATTCTCCCCCTGATAGATTTGCATTTTTTTTTAACTCGTCCGATCGGTTCCAATCGGTAGGCACTGCGGAGGGTATCGCAGAAGAATGTCCGAGAACGTCTTGAATGGAACGAACGGTATACAACAGCCGGTAGTCGACACCAACGATGCTGACGACATTGAAAGAAAAGAACAAGATTTGAAACGCAAAGAACGCGATCCACCGATTATCTTCAATGATGTCGTCAACGTAAGTCGATTAAAAGTAATATAAAAAGAAAATGCACGTAGTGTTTGACGACCTACAGGGTGTACGGCCACTATGAACGGAAGTCGTTCAGTTAATATTGGCAAATCATTAGTTGGGCTAAAGTGTTCTGTCTGTTGATGTTACTCATCCGGTAAGCAGAGGACTATGATGGGAGTACTACTCCTGGAGTAGTCAAGTATCGCTGACAAGTATCTTAATCGAGATTCAAATTCCTTGAGCAAACACAAATCCCCTCTTACTATTTAAACGTTTTGTATTGAAAAGTTACACAAGACTTGAATGATTTTCAAAATCCTCGGCTTAATGACTAATAAAGTTATCACTACAAGCAATACACACTACTACCTTAACATAGAATGAGAATGGTGAAGTACAGTCATGTTTTCTATCAACATACAAAATGTATTCTGTAGTAATCGGTGCCATCTCACTGAAATACATTTCTGGCTATGATACTGCTTATGCATTAATAATTTAAGTGTACCTTGTGCAAGTAATATAGTTAGATTAAAGTAAACCGAAACGATAAATTAGAATTTTTTCATAAATCACGTTTACCAACACGTCTCTTCATTTTACTTTTATATAATATTAACCTTTTACCTTCCACAAATACAAACCTTCAGAAATAATTTCCTCTCAATCGGTTGTTCGAATCTCTCAAAGTTCGTTTTGTGTATAATTTCTTGTATATTCTTCGAACACCATAACGCCTATTGGCTTAAAATAGTTGAGGATGTGTAGTATACTGAGGTAATCCCAAAATCAATTATTGCAATATTAAATTCCACCTGACATTTTAAGACAAGTTAGCTACGGATAGAAACCGTATGCGTGTACCAAGAACCCTAAATGGTTGGTTGTTTTAGCATGATATATTGAAAACGTACATGGTTATTGTACTTTTTATAAATACCTAACAACATTGTATGATATCTACGAGCAGATTCATGGAGAATTGGAGCGACTGGTCGGTCTAATCGACGGACGAATTCAACCAGACGACATGCAGTTCGTAGCCGAACTCGATCAGTACATGTTGGAGAATGAAGGATCGTGGGCCTTAGGCGATGGCTTTCTAGCGTTTGTCGGTGGGTAGTTCGTACGGTTTACAGTCTTAAGTGTTAGCTTGGAAATTATTGTATTCCATTGATTGTTGTCCTTGCTGCAGGTCGATTGCTTAATGACGACCAGTTGGTTTCGGAGGTGCGCGAAACCATACTGAACATATTGGCGGCCGCCGCGCTTAAAGACGATGTTATTTTGATTCTACACCAAGACAGACGGGAGCATATTCTGATGAACTACGCTAACGGATTCGACAAACTCCCCTTGCTGGAACAATTGGCTCTCTCGTTGTTTGTAAGTATTGGAGGCTTAAAGCGTATATTTTGTCATTCTGTATGGTTTGGATTTGGGTAAGACGTCAAAATTGGTACAAAGGGATTCTAGTTAATTCCTACACATATCAAAATAACAATTGACCACTTTCACCCTACCAAAAGGTGTTCGGGAAGGGATTGTTAAATATCACAATACTTAAATGCGCCCGTGTGTGTGTGTGTGTGATGCATGTACTCGCCACTCTTTCTTTGTACAATAATACTAAGAGTGAGATTAAAAAAAAACTATTAACGAAATCTTGTAATTTATCCGTAGATGTGCAACCTGTTCGAAAACAGTAGCACATCCGAATGGCTTCTGTACATCTCCGAGTGGCAGTTGGGCTCGAACATGGTGAGCAACATTCGGGTAACCACTAAGGTGGCGGTCAATTCGTTGCTGTCTGAAGACTCTGTACTGCAAGACCGAGGCACCGCTCTGGTACACAATCTGGCCTGCAAGGAGGTAAAAACAGTGGTCTGTATACATTTTAGATTATCATTATATAATATGTAAATCAATGTTGTTGTCTAGAATTAGTTGGACCATTTGATAGGCTCCCCATAATTGTCGTAGTGGCTTTTAACTTTGTTTCCCTCCGTGCAAACTTGCGTTTCCTCGACCCTATGGGTCCGAAGTGTGCAAGTTCTTCCCGATTCCGTTTAACTGTTTTCAGAAAATGTTTAAAAACCAAAACATTCGGAGACTGTTACCCGCAGGATCGTTTTCAAAGGTAGAACTATGTCATGTCAATAAAAAGAAAGTGTTCGTGGTATTGTGTTTATGTGCTGAACAATCTTTGGTGTCGCAACTCGAGGTGCAAAACAAGCGAAAATCGGCATAAATTATAATATGATCGCATTATAGGTCTGAGGAACTGTGCGTTTCTTTTATAGTAAAATTAAAGCATATAAAAACCGTCACATAATAACATTAAGTTAGCCACCTAATTAGCTGTATATTTGTAAATTATTCTAGGTATTTAAACTTTTTAAATAAAAAAACCACTTTTATTATTTGCTAAACGTACTAACTACTACATGTGTTTATCAATGGGTCTTTGTAGTAAACTATGAACAGTAGTAGTCGTATCACATCCCGTCGACAACTATTTCTCATCGTTGATCATAATTGCACTATACGGGTCGATCAAATGACGGGTAATTTAAATGATGCACCGTAATACAAATTTTAGTTTTCTCACTGTAGAAACGTGAATTCATCTGTATTATATATACAGTCTACGTTGTTCTTTTTTTTTTTATTATTATATTTATTTACTATGATATTGTTGTATAAGAATAATGCGGCCTGTGGTATTTTACTACTTAACTTCATCATACTATGTAATGTTCTCGTGTGGTGTCGTGGTCAGGTAAAACAGCTGTATTAGTTTAAGACATCAAGTCGGTAATAAAATATGATTGAACTAAGTGCTACTAACACACTGTTGTTTGGGTAGGTATCGTTTGCGGTGCACCAAAGGTTGCGACACTGTTGTTCTTTTATGCTGGTTGTGGCTTTACTTTTGTGCTAATCTAGTTAATCTTTTAGACCGATTCTTGGCGTATTCTCCGCGTATATTTTCTGTAGAAATCTAAGTGTCTATACCACTTCTTTCCGTTTCTCGTCACTGTACACACATGGATTCGTTGTATTTATATTCTGCGTGTATGTGTGGACACGTGTGTAGGTGTTCGACGACGTGGTCGTGGAGCTAGCCATGGCCGTGCTGCAGTATTTCAACAGTAAACCCAACGAAGAGCACACATTTAGATGCATGAAGTCTTTGGCTAGGTTCTGTCAGATATCCAGACAGGACGTACCGCAACTGATACAGATGATCGGACCACCGCCGTCAAACTTCAAAGGCTTATCGACCAGAATCGACGAACAGATAGGGGAAATACAAAATTATTTACGTTGAACGCGACACTAATGAGAATAACACAACAGTATTATGTTATTCAAGTTTTGTGATCATTTTTATTATTTTAACGAATTACCCTTTATTATTACCTATCACTTTTTTTTTAACAAAAATACCCAACTTTTTTTTACGGTATGTTTGACGAATTAACTCGACCCGAACGTATCGTAGCAAACTTTTATTATTATTATTGTTATTATATTATATCATATTATTGCATTTCGGTAAAACATTTAATATATTTTTAAGCGCTCGGCATACGCCAGAAGACTAGTATTTTTCTCTAACGATTATTGTATTTAATTATTTTTTAAAATGTTAAGATACCTTACATTTATATATCAAGTACTTCCGAGTGTTGATTGTGTAGTTAGTCTTATGTTGTTACATTTAGACAAGAACATAATAACAAAATATTATATGCAATTTAACGCCAAGAGAAATGATCTAAATGCGATTTTGTGTTTAAAATCCTTATTGTAGTCGAAACTGATCGTTGTCACTGTGTAGTAAAAAACGGGTATTTTTTATTGTCGAAAGGAAACATTGGATGTTCAAGACAAATAATACGATTAATTTGTTATGGCTCTAGGTTCTAGATTAATATAGAAACACAGTTTTACATTTCGATAGAATAACAGTGATGGCCCTATGAATTACTTTAAAACCATCCAATTATTAGTGTCTTAAAAATGCAATTTTTTTAAGTAAGTCAACAGTGATTTATTATAATTAAAAATAACCAATAAAAGGAGTTTGTATTTATAAATTTATTAACTGTCATTTTTCATAGTTACAACAATTTAATAGTAAAACGTTGGCCTAAAAATAAAATCCTGTAACTTGAAAATATGTAAATACAATTTAAAAAAGTCTTGTATCAGTAACAGAGACGACTAGTTATTTTCAACTCGAGTAGTTAAGTTCAGCGCTCAGAATAGATTGATTGCTTAGTCAATTGAATTCTAATTTCGAACAATATAACTAGGTTTCTTCAACTAAGTCTAAAACTCCTCGAGTGGAATGAGAAGCGTTCAGGCCGGCACTACATGTCTGAATGTACAATCTAAAAAAACAACGAACAAAAACTACGATAAGACAACCGATAACGAACATTGTTAGTTCAATGTCAAAAAGATTTTGTTTTAACAAACCATTTTATCCAAGAGAACAAAAATAACATTGAATTTCAATAAAAAAAATAATATAGTATACCTTCAGATTATTTTTATTTTAATGAACATAAACCTCAAACCAATACAAGTTACAAATTCTTAAATGATTTGAAAATTGTAATAGTATGGACTTAAAAATAATTTGTCGGATCTTCACAGCTATGTTTTTTGAACAGAAATTTATTTTTTAATGAAGTAGATTAGCATTTAATATATAAATACTAATTGGACGTATAAAATCTCTGAAGTATGAAACTCGGTAAGTCTCATCGGACGCCAACGCACAACTACACCTATACTTACTCTGCATTTGCTTTGAGGATTAATCCAAGCTTCGGTGGATTGAAATATTACTCATAAAATATTAGCTATAAAATTATATATTTGAATGGGCTCCAAGTATCTTTGTCGTCGATAATGTGTTCTATGAACAATAAAAACTAATTTTGTTGTTAATGTAATTTCAATAATATTATGACTGTTTTGGTATACCAATAAAATTGATTTAGCCTCGAAATGTGTACTTAATCTTTGAAAATTGGGCCATAAAATCTGCGGTATCTGTTTATTTGTTAATCTAATAAAAGCACAAAGGATTATCATTATTTGCTATATTATTATAATTAACAAATCTAAACTAGATAATCTTGTTGTAAAATGACAATGACCTATTTCTTAAATTGCTAATTGATTACATTTAAGAATACAAATAATAATAATATCACATAATTGTCATATTGATGTTATCGTAACATAATACGACTAAACGATACCTGAAGTACAAAGTTAAAACCTAACCGTTTAAAAACAGTAAAAATATTACTTTTTTAAAAAATGATACAAATGTGTGTTCACTCGCGAGTTTCATGTCCGATACCTATTGATAATCGTTTTTTTAACTTATCGGATTACTATAAAGCCCATTGATGTCTCATATGAAGAAGATGAGGCAGCTTAACAACTGTTTGTTATACACAGTACGGGTGGTTGATGTAGTCAGAGAAATATTGACAACATACGGGTTTTTATCTATAATGATTGATATTTGTTTATCTAAAAATGTATAATTACTGTTTATCGCTTGGTCCACAAGCGCCATGCCTCTATTAAATGCAATGTTGCACAAGTATTGATAACTGACATTTCTTTGCTTATTGTTTAATGCATTTTTATGATCGTTACACTATAATAGCCAGTTTTGTTAATATTTGTAATTATAAAAGCTAGGAGACCTAATAATTCTCATGTTCCCCTTATAGTTGCGTCACTGAAAACTTAATCTACTTTTTTTCTTGCTTTAATCATAATACAATATTACACGTGCTCGCCTGTCTATATTAACACTCCTGGCTCTGAAACAATCATCATTAATGTAATTCCATTATTCGTTTTGAGACTGCCTTTGGTTGGTATACGCCACTCCTTAGGTTAGATTATATGGAACGTGTAGAACAAGATGCCTAGTTGAGCTTTGTGGCTATATCTGCAACTCGTGTTGTTGGTAATGACATTTCATGTGTGTTTGTAGCCCGGCCGTGGTAAGTACGGCGCAAGACTACCTTTTTAAATACAAGTGTCAGTTTTACAAAAACGCTGTATTTTTTTTTTATAGTTTTCTCTTCTATCATTATCGTTGGGCAATACGTTTCGTGAACCGCGGAAATAATTTTATCATCCATAGGTGTACCCATTGAGGTTAATGTCCAGGGGCGCTGGTTGATGTCAAGGTTCAACCGTTTGACAAATAAATATCATTATAGAAAAGATTGTGTGTTTGTGGAATACAATGCGTTATGTTAATATTATTAGTTTAATATTATACGTGCGATGATATTGATATAGACATAACAGTTATAGATATATATATATGTATATATATAAAGACAATTGGTGTTTTTTTAAATTTTTTATTAGTAATATCGGATCCACTTGAATTAGTCGAGTAGTCGGGCGTTAGATTAGAACAGCGAATCGCGAAGAAAACGCGTATTTCATGTTGAACATTTAACCAAGTGCGATGTGGGATCCGGTCTGCGATAATTTCATTACATTTCCGTGGTGGTAGATTGGCATTGTAGTAGTTGGGAAATTCGAAGAAAATGATCGACACCGTCAAACGTAAGTGTTCACTACGGTTTTCCCAAAACTAGTGTCGAATGGGATAACTAATAAGTACTATATTTGATTAACAGGAGCGCACCTTCTAAAAAAATTTTCACAAACAACAATAAGCCGTCATATTTAGGGTAGTTCCCGCTGCTAAATTCACATCCAAAGGAGGAGGGAGTTTATTAAGATTGTTAGCTATAATAGTTATTGTCAGGCTCCTTGTAAGCAAATTTTGGACTCTCCAGTGAAAATTAATTTCTAAGTATTTTTCATTAGATAACTCCACTCAGATGATTCGAACCTATATAGTACAGGGTGATTGGTTAACTATGACCATTAGGTCAGTGACTTAAACGATATTAGACTTTGTAGTCTTTTTCATACTTTTAGGTAAAGTTAATAGTTAGAACATTTTTGATATAATTTTCAAAACTATAACCCCACCCCTAATGTGTTAAACCCTTATTAACTTAAGATAACTATAAGAGTATGAAAAATATTAATTTAAAGATGCCTAATATCTTAGATAATGACTGGGTCGAAGTTAACCAATCATAGTAGGTACTCCGTACCTGATATATACATAGTGTATATACCTACTACGGGTGGTACCACAACATTTTTAATTTTTCTAAAACCCGTTAATCTAGCCATACAAGTCTTATTAATACTCATCTTGGATGGAAAATGTAGAATGTGTCTAAATAAAAATAGTTTCTAAAACAGTAACTAAAAAGTCAAAACTGAATAAAAAAATCAAGAAAATACGAAACTTTAAACAATTATAATTTATTATATTTCATCGATTATTTAGTTTAGTATTGGTTATCTTGTTTGTTAGTATTGCTTTTTAAAAAATGAAAAAGAGTTACACCTTTTTTTAAATTGGGATTTTGAACGTTTCTTCTAGAATCTACTTAATTATTTGCATAAATACGCTCTATCATCATCATAATCAAGCTTAACAGCTAAATACCAATCGAATTTCCACTATTCAATAGTCCTATAAAGTTAAGAAGAGTAAATGTTGATTTCTATTTTTCTAAGTGTACATAAATCCCGCCAAAAACGTTTTGAGTTGTTCAAAATGTAATTAGGTATAATAATTTAACAGATTTTTATTTCTGTTATTTTATAGTCGTATAAGAATACAAGACTTGAAGTATCGACTTGGAGTACATGTTTAAATTATAAATATATATACATCAATTTTTTTTAGAGTTACTTAAATTCCTAGGATACATGGCGTTAACAAACATTATGGATTGTGTATGGTATTTTTATTTTTAATAAAACTAATTAACGGCATATAGGCATAATTATTATTTATAGATTGTACATATAAACTAATCGGTCCAGCAGTTCCAGTTTTTGTGAACATCGTTAAGAATTCGTATTCGATTGCCGTCTTAGATCAGCGTATCACAGCTATATGCAATTGAATTTATCTTAAAGTTAACAATCTCATATAATTAATTATCTCATTGCATTATGATTAGTAATTAATTCTTCTATTTTCTTATTGCTACTTGATTATTATGTTATTTTTGTTTATTGTATAAAGAATGATTCAATTTTCTGGTTATCATGCTTCATCTTTTTATCTTTTTTTCATTCGTAGCGTCGTAGGTAGCGAAATTATTTTTAGTAAAGTTATCGCTTGTAGCCTGTTATAAGTCATTCAATTGACATCGAATAACATTATACGTCAGTTATTTCAGTAAATAAATACAATATTTTTATGTTTGTAACTATTCGGAATTTAATGAAATTAATTTTATAAAACTATTTATGAGTTGACAAAATGTTTGAGAAAATATATTATTGGGTATGCCGCAAGACGAAATTAAGAGGTATTCATTATCAGCAGTTCATAAATATTATTATTAATTTTTTTTATTTTTATAATACTATAATTGATAAGATTATATTTTTTTCATTTTATTTGTTAAAATTAAAATTAAATTGATAATTTAATCTGGTTTAATCAACCATTCAAATAAGTACATTAACTTAAGAACATTATAGGTAATTTGAAAATCTGTTAACTTTATTTTTCTTAAGTTTTATTAGTAGATATGATTTCTGATAAATTGTTTACAGAAAATAAAATTAAAACAAAGAATTTTTACTACTGAGTTTAGTCAGGCTATCAAATTTAAAATTACTGATTTTCAAATTAAAAACTTAGGGATAGTACATAAACGCTTAAATAGTATTTATATTTTCAAATTATTATGCATAATCAATTGAATCACCTGGTATATTAGTTTATGGTACAATATCAAATTACATTGTTTTTTAATCCATTTAATCTATTAAGTAATAATAACTATATTAGGTTTACATCAGACCTTGACTTAATTTCAAAAACTCTAAATTTTGACCTTCAATCATTGTTTGTATTTTTCCAATTTGAATTCTTTGTACTGTAAAAACATAAGTACTATCGAACAAAAAACGATAAAATAACGATTTATTTGTGTAAGTATACGACACTATTTGCCACTTAGGATTTAAATAACTCTGAATTACTATACGTTTACCATTAATATGATAATTGAACAATTTAATATAATTAACGAAAAAACATAGAAACTCATTTGCATAGGTAGGCTTGCTTTGTTGAAAAGTGTGTGTTTAGTTTTTCTAAGCACTAACCAGTTGTGTTTGTAAGCATTTCAACATTTTCTGGACATTATTTCGATTTGAATTTTTTTTTAACATTCAAAATGACCGAAAAATATTACTCAACTCGTATAAACGAATCCGTTTCGGATGACAATCCATCGAAATCATGCCGAGGTAAATGTTTCCAAAAGACCAATCAGGTTGGGTAGGAATGAAAATAAAATATTTTTAAATAACTATTAGTCACTCATATGAACTAATACAAATTTAGAGGTTTGCTTTGACTTTATGGCCTTTAATTATAACCTAGTCATCGGTCGTTTCGATGGCCTATAACAGCTGTTCTGTTAAGTACATAATATTACAGTCGATTTTTTAAAAAATAAACCAACGAATTTTGCAGCTAATTCCAACGAACGTTCCAAGTCTTCTAAGACGCATCATAACAGAAGCAAAAAGCACGGTAAGCTCCTCAATTCTGTTCGGCGGCGTTTACCGATTCTCACTTGGCTGCCAGATTATGACCGCCAAAAAGCTGTGGGAGACGCTATTGCCGGTATTACAGTGGGACTCACAATGGTGCCGCAGAGTATCGCCTACGCCTCCCTTGCAAACTTATCGCCTCAGGTAAATGATGTATTAGTTAAATGTTCTGTATATGATTATCATGCACCCTAAAAAATTGGCAAACTGGGGTAAGAAAAAATTAGACGTTGTACTATGTACCTGACATCATTTACTTATAACTGTAAAAATCTTAACTAATATTATTACCATTATTATATCACCTAGTACGCTTTGAATATTAATTAATACTTTCAATTAGAAAATGCATAATTTTAAAGTAATGAATAATACTAAAAAAAAAAAAAACAAATAAATAATTATGTTTTGTTTATAAATATTAGTACCTACTAAAATGTTTAACTTTGTATCATATAGTGTGCGATAATGTGTAATACAAAAGCTTAAACGAATAGTGACGAATAATAAACATATTTAATATTTATTGATAACCATTTAATCTATTTATAATAGTAGACACACGCTATTGTGTTATTAATTTACAATTGCGTTCAATATTTAATATAGTTTTAGTAGAAAAACAGGTATGTATTTATCGATTCAATGTTTATATAGGTGATAACTGATAAGTTATAGTTTTTACTCAACAATTACCTTCATATTTTCCAAAACACTGTCAGTTTGATAAAAAAATGTGTCTGCGGGTTCTGACGTAGCAATGGTGTAATTATTTAATATAGCTTATAATTACAATAATGCAACATTGACAAACACTGAGACGTTCGATATGATTCAATGGCATACATTTTAATTGCTATCATCTTTTTTCCTGGTGCAATTTATTATTATTATTATATGCATTACACTGTAACCTTATACATGTTAACTAAAACAGGAAAAATATACTTTGGTATATTTAAGTACTGGAACTATTTACCTAATTGAATGTATTATCTAGGTGTTCTATAACGAAGGTCCTCTCCTAGTATAGGCTTATTATTAGTAGAAGGCTACAAATATTGTTGGCGTTACGTTTTTTAGTATACATATTATGGCTTTTATTTTTATTAGCAACAGACTCGTCACAATCGTTAAAAACAATGTTTATAACTGGTTTTTTTTTAGTATTTGATTTCAAAGTATTGATCTGTGTTATAGTATTTAATCAGTCAAAGTATTGATTGTACATTGACATTTTCGGTGTAGGCATACAAAGGACCGAGTAAAACCTATTTAGTGTATTAGCTCATTATTTACAAACTTCAACAATATATTTTGTTGATTTGTAGCACATTATATAAGTATATTTTCCTTTATATATTTTTTATTTTGAGTCTCAATACAGAAATATCATTCAGTAGACTACTAGAATATTTGTACTAAATGTTTTATATATAGTGATAGTTAGGTAATGTGAATAGATCATATTTTCATCGAATGTTTTCTTTACATATATATATAACGTCTAAATAGTGTAAAATATTTTAAATTTTGTGCCAACAATTTGAAAATTGTAGTAAACTATCCCGTGTGTAGATGGAAATAAATTAACGATATATCTATAGGTATTAAGATAGCCAAATATTTAAAGGCAAATATACCAAATTGTATTCCATTGTTCACTACATAGGATTAAGAAAAACGTAAATGAATGAAAGATCCCCATAATAAAAAAGTAATGGATTAACAACTTGTATAGTATATTTTTGTCGTCGAGGTAAATGTGTATTAAAATTATTTTTAACACAGTTATAAAGAAATTGATTTCTGCAATAAAAACGTTAAAACCGTTCGTCACTCTTGAGTTTTCTATCTTTAATATTTTTATCATTTTAAATACTGCGTTTTTAAATAATCCTTCTAAACCCGTGTATTAACAACATGATATTATGATTTATTGTATTCATGGTATCTTTATACTTAAGTTTTATTGTGTTCGTGTGTACCTACTGGATGATTTACGCGTACCTAGATATGGCGCAATTTAAAAGCAAAAATGAAAAAATCTAATAATGAACGAGAAAACAAAAACATGAATTTTAAAATTACAATAAAAATAGATCATATAAAAATATTATTCATATTAATTTTCTAACTTTTCAATTAGGTGGGATTGTATTCTGCTCTCATGGGTGGACTTTTTTATGTATTTCTTGGCAGCGTCAATCAAGTTTCCATAGGGCCCACTTCTCTAATGGCATTGCTCACGTACGAGTTCACTAAAGATCTGCCACATGAATATATTCCGCTGCTAACTTTTATGTGTGGCTTAGTCGAAATGATGATGGGTCTATTGAAACTAGGTAAGTCTCTTACGAACGAATTATACACGACCCTCCAATGCCAAGTGTTTGAAATTTTGCAGTAAGAGTTTTTTTTTTGGGGGTAATTTATTAATTCAATATTGATACATCAACGCTTTACTAGCTGGACGAAAACTTGCTGTAAATTCACGACATTTTGGCATTTAAGGGTGAAAATGATTATGACTTGAACACAGTGTGACGGGTTTAGAATTGAATGATTGGTCTGTGTGCAGGATTTTTGGTCGACCTGATATCAGCACCGGTGATTTCTGGTTTCACCACGGCCACTTCGTTGATCATTGTGCTGTCACAGTTAAAAGGAATACTGGGCGTAAGGTTCAAAGGCGACACCGTCGTTGACATTGTCGAGAAGCTAATCAAACATTTCAATGAGCGCAGGAACGGCGACATATACCTGGGGCTGACTGCCATCGCTTTTCTCCTGACCATGAGAGTACGTTTAACCACATACAGATAAATAATTAATAGCATAGTTTTTTTAACGCCATTGCTGTGTTTTTGTTTATTTGTTCGCGTTGAATAGCAATTGTATGTGATCATACCGGCCAAAGGCAAGCTAAAACGAGCGTTGTGGTACTTGTCCATCAGTCGGAATACGTTGGTAGTGTTGATCGCCATGTTCATCACTTACATGTACGAAAGCAGTGGATCCCCAGTGCCGTATTTGACTACAAGTAAGTACGGACGTTGGCTAACACAGAAGTTATCCATAACCACGTATTGATCATTAGCAATAGTTAAAAAAAAAAAGAGACAGATACGATTTGTTAAACCGATCATTAGGGTCAAGACCGGATGGTCTAGTAAAACTGCAACTAAAGAGCATTTATTTACGGGTTTTATAGTTTTATGTTTCTTAATAACTATTTTAAAATATGTAAAAAAATGTAAAGCTATAAGAAATATTAGGGACGCATTCGTATGGCAGTATTCTTTTCTAACATAACAAGTAAAACAATAAAAAAATTAATTACACTTTTGGAAATAATTCCATCCATTATACTACGCGATATCCATGTGCATAAGAATAATGGCATGTCTAAAAAAAGAATGATGTTTTTTTATGTAAAATATGTAAACAAATACCTTGTATGTTTTATTTAATTCTCAGAATTCTCGCCTGAGAAAAGTATGTTTTTTTAGTCGTGACATTATTTATGCTTAGGTGATGTACTAGATTTTATTACAATTACTGTAGAGGACACTTACATTTTTACCGTGTATTGCCGGTTGGCCGTATGCGCACAGCGGTCTACAATTAATCATAGTTATGTTAGAAATAATTTATATTAAAAAAAACAAAATTTATCTTGGATACGCCAAACATTTAAAAAGTTAATACTTAATAAACAAAGTCATCAAAGCTATATGTTGGTTGTTAAATTTTTTTATCAAACATAAACACATACATAAACACCAAAAAGGTACTTTTCATTGAATTTCTACGAATCATTTACCATACGCGCCGATTGTTAATAGAGTGCGTGGTCCTTTTCAAGGAAGGTTTCTTTTATGTATTTTGAATTTTGTTAAATAATTGGTATAGTTTTTAGTTTTTTGTTAACTATATGCGTGTTATTTTTGGAATAATAATGTATTGACATGATCATATTATTTAAATCATAATGTAACAGCTATACTGATCTAATTGTTGGTGGACGTTTCGACAGGTACGGTAGAAGCGGGACTTCCGACATTACAACTTCCGCCGTTCGGGTACACGTCCGGAAACACTACGGTCACGCTATCCGAGATGTTATACGAAATCCGGTCGGCCATGTTTATCATACCGCTGGTTTCTATTCTAGCCAACGTATCCATCGCCAAAGCTTATGGTAAACAACATTTTAACCCTAACAACTGCTTACTGCTTCTCCCCCACATTGATAGTCGTGTACTGCACGGTACATGGCACTTAACGGCCCTGAAAATCATATTTAATGTTATAATATTATATAATATTTTAGACCTTGTATATCATACGTAAAACCTATTTCAACAAATGAATAAACTTCACTATAAATCTTAACAATTAACTCTAAACGGTCAACAGTAGGTAATTAACGGTTTGAATATTTTTTTAATTAATGTAGAAAACATCTATAAAACGGTTTAGATCAACTTAATATTTGTATTTGCATTCCATTTGTAAAAACGTACAAATTTGTTTGTGAAATTTATATTTATAGTTGTAAATTTTAAAATGGTGCATGTGTTTGATTTTTAAACATACTTAAATATCCAAACAACTGTTAAAGCGCATTGCATGGTTCATGTTTTGTGCTTTTATGGTTTGAGCTGGCTTGACAGCTTTGTTAAGGAAATTAAAAAATGTACCGTTTCTTATTGATTTTTGTAATTTAGCCAACGGAGGAACTATTGACGCTACTCAAGAGATGTTGGCTTTGGCCATGTGCAACATAGTCGGTTCGTTCATCAGATCGATGCCCACTTGCGGTGCGTTCACTCGCAGCGCCGTCAGCCAAGCTAGTGGGGTGCAAACGACTATGTCGAACATCTATTGCACTATATTGATGTTTATGGCAATACTGTTCCTCACTCCGCATTTCCATTTGATCCCAAAAGCTATACTGTCGGCGGTCCTCATTGCCGCCGTCTGTTCTTTGGTGGACTACCATATTGTGAAGCCCCTCTGGAAAACTAGCCGTAAGTGTATATGTCTAGCACATTATTCCTTTCTAAGATTCTTGTTCTTGTACGTGAGCAGTATTTTTGTATTGAATTCTCTAACGGTTTTAGGTATCGAATTATTCGTGGCGATCATTACGCTGATGACGAGTCTTTGCTTCACCGTGGAAATAGGTTTGCTGGTCGGGGTGTGCATCAACATAATACACTTGGCTATGTTGTGGTCCAGGCCTAAACTGAAAATCGAATTGTCCAAGGTGGGTAACAACGATCATAATATTGTGAGAAGAAACAAAGTTCTTGGTTTGATACCGTGATAAAATGTCTGTACACAGATTTCGACGGTAGACATTGTGATGGTCACTCCCAACAGCGGTTTGTACTTCCCGTCGACCGATTACATGTACAAGGAAGTGATGCGAATTGCCAATCAGGAACCGTATCTGAACAAACCGTTGGTGTTGAATTGCATACACTTCAAGGGCTTGGACTACACGGCCGCCAAAGGGATGGGTCTGATATCGTCGGAGATCCAAGCTAAAAATCAAATATTCATCATGCTCAACGCCTCGGAGAAGATCAAATACGTCATCAGAAAAGCCGGTTGCAAAACTCTGGTCTATTGCGATTCCATTGACTCCATCCCGTCGATTATAAACGGTATGAGCTGTTTATTTTTTTACTATAGTTTTCAGCTTAGCTTCGCATAGTAATAGTACTGATATAGCTCGTTCGTTACACAGGCGAACAATTTGTGGAAAAAGTGGCGTTGCTTAACCCGAACGAGAGCGATGACGGCGACGTTAAAATCAACATGGCCGAGCTGGCCCCTTTACTGCAAGTCCAGTCGGTTCAGATCTCAAACGGCAACAACGGCACGGTCAAAGTCAAACCGGCCGTATCCAGCGAATAAACCAAGTTCGAGGTTTTCAAAAGAATTTAACGTTTATATGTTTTTTTTTTCCGTTGTACAAAATATGCGTATTGTAAATAAATGTGTAAAACTGTTTTAATGGCAAGACCGAGCTTTTAAGAGAATATATATTTTTCGAGTTTTAAACGAATACGAAAATAATGGCTTTAGAAATGTATGTACACGGGGGGCCGAGGCATAGTGAAAACGGTTTTTTCTATCTTAAGTCATCCATTGGTTCTTTAATTTTTCTAACCGGTATTTTCCACGTATAGCTGTCGTATAACGTCGAATAACGAAGTGTTATTTGGTGGAACGTCCTGCAAACAGTTTTCAAAAGTTAAATACAATTTTTATAATATTATTCGCAATAATTACCTACTATTATAATTTCGAACCAAAACAACACAGTCTTCGACACATCGTTTGTAGCCCACGGCCCACATCGCTTTTCGCCCGTCTTATTTCCACTACTTCCATTTATTGTCCATACCTTTTGTCTAATGCACAACACTCGACTGCTATTCATCATTGTCGGCCTCACTATATTATATTTACCTACCTTAAAAGACACATTTTAATAAAATTTTCACAACGCTGCAACAACTACACATTTTCAGGTTCCTCTTGTACCATCATCGGTGACTGGTTCTTAGATCAGTAGATGATACTGATACTTATCTTCGTACAGTCTACAAAGGATATTAATACCATACGAAAAATGAAACAAAATACAATGTGTGCAACTCATATTATTTGTAGCACAAAATAAATTAAATAGTGTTTAATATATGATGGGAAATTATTCGCTATGTGTTGTAAGCAATTTTTTTACACGTTGCCTGGATATACATAAAAAATGTTCATAAGCGAAAGATAATAAAATACAGTAATTTATATTATTTATTATCATTTGCGATGAACCAACGGAACGAAAAGATTTCTGATCTATAGAATTGCTACTCAAAGAAATCGGTTAAGTGGTTTAAAATATACCATGGGTATAGACAAAAAAAAACACATCATTGTAACTACAATACCTTCTCAGTTTCGCATCGAAGCTAAAATATTTGTAGTAAATGTTGAGTATAAATATAGGTGTATATAAAATAATAATACAACCGTGTCTATTAATTTTTAGCTAATTTTTCTAGCATTCTTCTTCAGCATGTCCACTATAATCATCCAAACCAGCCTAACTTCGATCCCTTATAACGTCATGTACATACTTGTTACTGTAATAGCTTATAACAATTATGCCCTGCCATTTGTCATGTTAGACTGATGTTAAAATAATATAAAATGGACCTTATTTATTGATCTGTTTTACATGTTCCTGTGTAATAGAACGGGGCCGTTTCTGTTCTGTGGAATGTTGAAGCAACAAAGTATAGTTAACTTAGATAACTGAGATTCTTGTTGAAATATATTACTTAATCTATATTGTATATATTTCATAAATTTATCAATGTTGGTTATCAGTTGCGTGAACATTACAGTTCGAGTATTAGTACTTGAGTTCGACTTCTTGGTTAAGCCTATGTTTTCTTTTGTTGACATTGATATTATTGTGTATTTTAATTTCTAATTTTCGCTATTTTTGCTGACACATAATTTATAGTCTAAAGAAATACAAAAATATAATACAAATATTGTATATTTATTATGTGCAAACAAATTAAATAATGTAATTGGATTAGTGTGGTTCACTGGTTCGGTTAATTTTACTTTCAAATTATTTTATATTGCATAATGACGTGATTAGAGAAAATCATATTTTTCTAAAAAGCCACTAGAGTTGCGTTCACTATAGTTTGACGATAATTAATCACATGTTATGTGAATGACATGTTTATTACATTCGGTCCGCAAAGAAACAAATTACTACTACCGAAATTATGATTGCACATGTCAGGCAAATTCATTGTAATATGATTTAATAATTTTAGGGCCCGCTTACGATGATGATGTATCTAATGTCTATTAAATTAAAAACCCATTCAGGCCATTTCCCTTCGAAATTTACCTTTAACGTATAATAAAACACTTTATAAGAGCGTCATAATTTATTTATGGAACGTGTTTGTATTTGCTCAATTTTTTAAATCCTTATCCGAGATAACTTTTTATGTAATAATTCTATTTTTTAATATTATAATATTTCAGTCATTAAATACACTAATGTGTATGAGTATATTGATTTTATATTGACATAAAGTGGAATGTTGTCAATTGATTAATTAATCGTTATACTGGACAAACAAGTACAATTATCTTAGTGGTATGTGACGACCATTTGCGGATGTTGTTTTGTACGTTTTGTATAACAGAACAATTATGCACTATAAAATAGCATCTTATTTAGAGAAACTATTTAGAAATATTGATTATAAAGTACATGTGTAATTGAATTTATAAAATTGAATCTAAAATTACATATATGCTTTATAAAAAAAACAATATGAGATATAAATTATGGTTATTATATTGTTCAAAAACCATTAAATATAACTGAAAAAATCAAAATTGTTGAATATCAGTGTGTAAAGAAAAGGTTACCCAATTAAAACAAAACAAAATTGGTAGAAAATAACATGTTAATATGCTAAGAAGCCTATAATTTGATATAGTTCTTTAAGTTTATTTCATACTTTTTTTCTATTCAATTGAACAAAACAACAATACACCATTTTAAAAACCTACAACAGACACCAGCTATACATTTTCAATTTTGTTTTTAAACTTGAATTTCTATTTCTTACCGAAAGACAATTTCGTAAAAATAAACTAATAATGTGTCATTAATATATTTCAATATTTCATTATTTTATTTCTTTATCATAAATCTTTTAAAAATAGGTGGTAACCAGTAGTCTAACTACTGCAACCTTTTTTTTATTTTCCCTTTTTGATCGCAGATTGTTTTACTTATAAGTCTGTAAATAAAACTGAAACCAGTTGTAGTATAATTTATTTATAGTATTTCCATCTTTTTTGTTAGTACTTAAGCTTTCATAAAAAGTTAAAGTTTTACATAACAGCTGCGTGTGTGTGTGTAATTGCAGAGATTTCTTTTAAAAATTATAAAAACGGACAACGAAGAATCAAGAATGTTTAAATTGTTGTACCACGCTACCATTAACTGAACTGAATAAGACACTGAAAAACAATATTAGACCAAATAAACATTTGTGTAATAACAAAAACGTTAAGCTTAACGGTAATTACTTAAACGAATGTGTATTTATTTGACCAGCAGCGTTTAAAATGACTGTTGTACATTACTTGTCTTGTGTAGTATAGTTTAGTTGTTCACGATTTTTGTTATTTCATAAACGCAATCGGTGTTGTTTACATGTGTTTTGTTTTTGAAAACGTAAACTTTATGTAAGGTAAAAGATTTTTCTTCCTTTTTTTCTTTCGAGGAAAAAAGTAACACAGTTTATTTTTTTTTTTTTTTAGACCATACGTGGAAATGTAAACTGCGATTAGTTATGTCAACGAGGAAAAGACACTTGTGACCCCGGCCAAGACAAATTATCATTGTTCTTTTGATTCGAAAACGTAGGAGGGTATAATATACTTAACGCATAAAATATCGTATCGGCGAGGTCGTCAGCTTGCGTTTGATCTTCGATTATATTCTATATAAAAGGCTGGTGGTCGATCGATCAACATTCAAGTTCAAGCTCTTCGCGGGATCGACGGTCGTGCTGGCAAAATGCGTCAATCGTTCGCCGTAAGTCTTCTTGAGTGTCAACACAAATCAAGTAATTCGCACTCCAAGCTAACTTCGTTTCGGTGTTCTTTGCAGTTAACAGTTTTGGCTATCACCGTAGCCGCCGTGTCAGGTTTTCCATGGACAGCTGGCGGCAAAGGTGCAGGCCGTACTAAGGGCAACAACGGCGAAACGGCGCAGCAAGACGACAGGTTCCATCTACAGTCGCCCGACGGACAATATGTATTTGGTCACACCGAGAACAATCAAGTACACCGTCATGTTGATAAAATTTCTACTTAGGCCATAACTTATAATTATAACGCTACTAGAGAAGCAATGATTTTGATCGTGACGTTTTCAAATTAACGCCATTCAAGGTTTTTGCTGTGGCTTAAGAACATAATTAACAACTTGTGTACTAACTACTAACTAGTCACTACAATCCCAATGAATATGCATTTCAATTAATGTTCAAACATAGGGAAGAGCTGAGATGAGGTCTGCAGACGGCACAGTGACCGGGTATTATAGTTACATGGGCGCTGAAGGCAAACTGGTGTATGTCAACTACATTGCCGACAATCACGGATACAGGATTTTGTCTAGCAGCACTGAACCTTTGGATTCTAAGACCGCCAAGGTCGCAGACAAGAATGACTCTAGCAATGACTACGGCAGTGTGTTTTCAGAATTCACTCAGCGCATTAAGGTTTACATTCAAATACGAATCATTTAAAGAAAAAAATCAATCTTTCCCTTTGAAGGAAAGACATTGGATCATGGTCACTTGTTTTTCTAACCCCCTAAGCTGATTTTCTTATCAATAATCTTAAATCAATTGTTTGTGATTGGAGTATCAACAACAAAAGCCATAGAAATGGATAGGGTCATCAATGTCGAACGATTTCGGATAGACCCCAGCCAAAGGACATGTTCATATCAAAAATAGAAGGGGCTGAAATTAGAGCGCCGTAGTGAATTTATGTGAGAGAATTAGAGGGATTAAGTTTAAATAGCTAGTATATGTTGAAAAAAGGCGGGAAATTAAATGGCAAAACGAGTTAGGTTAGAGACTAGAGTAAACAGGGATTATCTAAAAAAGTAGACTAAATAAGAAGTGCTTTAATGATAAAATGTAAGACTTTACGGGGTATAGAGTAGGTAGAGAAACTTGGATGAATGTTGAAGACTTAAATGGCTGACTGGAGAAATGGTGACAAATAGAGTAGTGTGAAGAGAGAGACTATTCGGGAGGCTGACCTATAATAGTATAAGACAAAAAATATAGGAAAAAACTAATATGAATATTTAAATAGTAATATTATTGTTTTATATTTAAAGGACACGGTAGTGCAGAAATCGGGACAGCGGTCGATCGACCTTCCAAATGGTGGTCAACAACAAGAAACTGTCGATCCGCTTTACCCGTCAAATAAGGTAACTAAAAAAATGATCAGTATAGTAAATTTAAATTAAATTAAAATAATTATGACTAAGATGTACAATACGATTTACCAATTCAGGATATTCCGTCTAAACCCGATGGGCAAACCCCAAATCAATTCCCAGACTGGAATCAATTGAAGACTTCGACCACTGAAAAACCATGGGTAAAATTATAACGAAATACAATAATTGAACGATTTACAATTTAATGTCAAAGATAGAATACAATACATAAGAAAACGTATATTATGTCAACATTGTATTTGATAGGACGGGGAAAATACCGACCAAGGACAACATCAACAAGAAGTAATACTTCCTAATCGGGCTGACAGAATTGAACCCAGTAGTGAGCCTAATGTATGTATTCCGCCCATTTTGTTTTACAATTATTTCATACTTCATAGTGTAGCTATTGTAATTTATAGCTGTCTCTAGTCAGCAATGAGTCATCAGTAATGTGATTTGCACGTGTTTTATTTTAACATGATTTTCTGTTGTCTTACTGCAACTCTACACTCATTTGACATTCTTAGGCACGCATTGCTAACGACATCATCGCAACTACCATTTCTCGCGTGGAACAGGCTCAGACCACGCTTTCGTACAACGATCTACCTCAAACTACAGTTCCAAACGTAGAACCTGCTCAGACAACCGACGCCATACTTGAAGAGCTTCAAAGAACTACCGAAATTATCGACAGCCGAGTAGATTTACAGGTAACTAGGATACATAAGTGAACGAATTTAGGACTTTGGGGCGAAAAGCACATTCCCAAACTTTTGGCTTACTAGTGACAAAAAAAATGATTTGAGATTTTATACGATTTGTTTTCAAACAATATATTATAAACACACAGTGTCGACGGTATAATACACAGGTTTAAGAAGTGCATTATTTGAGAATATTAGTTGTTTAGTAAACAGTAATAATCATTAATCGATGTACACTGAAAAATTATAACTTATGCTGCTAGAAGCTATGTCAAGTTAATTAAACACATTGAAAATATGAGTACACGTTTTTAAACGGAATTCCTGTAAAATTACACACTTATGACTATAGTTCACCATGTGATTATTGTAATAATTAGTGATAATTATAAACGACGATAATGTGATTATTAAGTTTAAATTACATGTAAATCAAGGAATGAAAGTATAGCTGACAACTTCAAGTATATTATGTTGTTAAAGACTCATCGTTTAGAAATTCGTGTAGAAAACTATCTATTAAAATAGTTGACTGCGTAAACTGTTGTTAGTTTTATAGTTTTCTTTAAAATCAAGTATAGAGTGCAGTGGAATCGAGGTGCCAATGAAGGATAGGCAGGTATTATTATTATTATTACGATTAGTGAAACGCCGCTCTACTCTCTGCAAACAACTTCATATTTAATATCGGTAAAAAAAATAAAAAATGCCATATCGTTTTTATACATTTTTTTAAATGATTTATAATAGATTTTTTCGGTTATCCTTAACAAAGAAATGTTTGCAATCGATTTTTAATATCTTTAATATATTTCATATAACTAAATTTCCTAATATCAAGTCCTAAACCACGTTTAGAAAAAAATATATACAGATATCTATAACTATTTACTCAGTTTTTATAAAAACCCTCCTCTACCTCCGAAAACATAGAAATACTTGCATCATTATTTTGGATCATTCTAACGTTTTTTTAGGAAGTTGTTATTTGTAGAGTTTGTAAAGTTCAAAAATATAGTACTTAGCTGTTGTGGTTGTTATTTACATGGTTTCGATTTTAAAATAACTTTTTGCAAACAATTTTTAATTTTTATACTGTATATATATATAGCAATTAAATTAGCTATTAAATAACGATATAATTTCACATAAACACTATTACCTTTGCTCTACTTTAGTAAGTGATAAAAAAATTGGTCCAATGGTTATTATCCGAGCTCTCCGCGTCCAAGTTAAAATATTAATTGCTAAAAAAAAAACCAAGTATCGCTCGATAAAGCTCTAAAACATCAAATTGAATTGTAATTTAACAGACAACGACCCGAAGCGATATCAAGGAATTTTCGACCGTGACCATCAGAGATGAACCGACTACAATGCGTTCCACCGACGAGCACAGGCCTAGCGTTAAGGTGAATAAAAGCGGTTGAAAACTGAATTATGTTGTTTTAATCTACTTATAATGCAAAATACAGAAAAATGTTTATTTTATTTCTTCACGCAGGACTCCGCTGAAAGGGACAACGATGCCACGACGGTCAAACCCACGTCTTCGGTTACCGTTCTTGAGGAACACCAAGGACAACAGCAGATCACGACCGAACCTAGTGTCGAAACCGATTATCAAGTGTGTAGCGGTTGTTTTCAGCATATCACGATAATTATATTGTAATAATAACAATAATATTATATATTTGTATATAATAATATAGACTACGACGGTGACGGTGTCATCGAGACGAGAAGAATCTACTGGAGTGACGACGTTCAAGGTAAAAAGAATGGCATAACACTGTGTACTATTTTTGTACTATAGTCTATACAGCGAAATTTGTCTAATATACCGTTTTTTTAATATAAGCGTCTTACTTGGGAGAGGTACAAACGTTGACGTTTAGATATTAGGCCGGACAATCAAAACGCATATTATTATATACCTACCAGTGTTTCCTCTCTTGAAACTAATGTCAACTGAACTAAAGTTAGGTTCTAATATTATTGGGAAATAAATTATTTTAGAGGAGTTATAATTTTCGACAAAGGGAATTTTTTTTAGAAAAACAGGTTCCTACCAACAGGACTGGTTTCAGAAATGCGTTTCCTTTGGAAGCGCTTTTCTCAACAGTCAACACTGACAGTTTTGTATTGGCAAAAAGAGTTGTATACGATTTGAGAGTTGGATCAGAGTCGGAGTCAAGACACACTTTAAAGGAATATTGTGACTGTGTGTGTAGAAAGTATGTAAGTAACGTCACGTGCTCTATGCTGTGCGCATCTTTGATTTGAACTAGGGCAACATTTTCGCTGTATAGTAAAAACGCATAATCGTGCGCGTATTACCTAAATGTAGTAAAGTTATTAATGGTGATAAAAAAAAAAAAACAAAGTAAAACGACGTTAATTTTGCCAACAATGTGTGTTTAAAAGCCCGAAAGCGACCAAAGCCGTGACATGGAAACCACAACAGGCATTCAGCACGTGACCGAAGAAAACGGCCAAGACCGCACCGAGTTCGGGGTAAGGCGACAATTACCTTGTTCTCTGAGCGTTCATTATATTCTGTTTGTCGATGATAATATGATTTTAATTGCTCGTGTCTTTTCACTATACTGTTTTCGATAGACGCCAGAGCCCAGCGGTAGAATCGGAACGACCGTTAGCCCCGGTGACTTGGAAGGACAGACGACCGAGGTAGGCCAAAAGGTTTTTTACCGGTTTCCGCGCACAATATATTGATAACCGGAAAACCGATGAACGATTTTTTTCGTGACAACTGCAGTCGATTGTCATTGTTCAAACAGTACTATAATAGTATTATAATATACCAAGGAAATAATTCGTTTCCTTTTACTACTAACAATATGGCCACAACGTTTCCGTTAAAATCGCTAGTGCTTAGTTTGATAAATAACAATAATAAAATAACACTATCTTTTTATTTTTACACAGGCGCAGGTACAAGAAATATCGTGGCCCGAAATACCTCAACAGCCCAAACCGGTACCGCAAGATTTGGTAATAAATTACATTAAATGTTCAGCCCTAACCTATCCCAACTTATTAACCCATTTATCAGTAGACAAATAATTACTTTTCCTTTAGGTACCTATGGAGTATTCTGAAGACGAAGGATCGACCAAGAGTCCGGCTGGCACTAAAACGCCTTATTCGAGACGGGTAAGGTAATGGCGATTTAACAATATTAAGACGGCCCAAACAAAGTTATTGGTGTTTTTTCGTCATTGTGTTTATGATATTTATAACAGCTATTTCTTATAGACGAGACAGTTCCATAAGTTAGAAGAAGAAGTCAAGAAGACGGCAAACGATTCGGAAATCATTGAAACCACTACTTTCGCTCCAGAAACTGCAACTGTATTTGATTTCCCGAAATTCTATTTAATTGGCTAAATACCTGTAGTCGTTTTAATTGTGAACCGTGTAATTACTTGCTACTAAATGTTCGATAATGTAATGTTTTCATCGCCGCTATAATATTATTATAACCATATTATTAATAGTTAACGAATAAAAACAAATGGTTTCATTTGTCTGGTACATTATTAAACATTGATCAATTATAAAAAAACTCGTCTTAACAAATAAACAGTTTGCTGTCTTTAAAAAAAAAAAAGCGAAAAACTATTTTGTAATTGAAGCGTGTTCTAAAATAGGGAAAGCGTTGAAAATGGTTCGTTCATAAATTGTTGGATGAGCAATTGACAACTCCGGTAGAACAATATTCTCTTCACAAAGTTGCCAAATAATTAACGCCCGTTATTATAACACCATTGCACACATTGCAACTGAAAACAAAAATAGGATTAATTAATCATATGTATATATTGGCCAAATTGTATTATTTCACATCATTCCGACTACTTAAGTCTTGAAATAAATGAAATAAAATTAATACAAATTATCTACAATCCTACACTAGTTAATTGTTGTGCAATTATCAGTTAAGAATTACATGGGAATTGAGTGTTATCTAGTAAATTTTAATATGATATTTTCTGTGCGTTATTATAATTTATTTAATGTGTTATGAATAAGTAGACAGCTAGGTTTTGGTTCTACATTTTAACTTGATTCCCTGAAAAGTGATGGTAGTAATAAATTGTATTGTACATTCTATTATACTATCATTTTTCATTTTTGTACAATTATTAATCCATGTTTATTGCGTAGTAATTACATAATGTGTACTGTGCAGTGTGTACCTACGTATTTTGTATAATTAAAGAGTTAGAATAAAGTACACCCGATTTGACAATTACCTATATAGTTTTAATTTTTAAAAATTTCAACCTAAGTCGTTTTTGTACTGTTGAGTTAATATTTTTTTGAGTTTGGTTAAGTTAAAAATCCATGACGATTGACGGTTATCGTTTAGCAATTCACGGTTGATTCAACTCAACACATTAAGAGCACAACTACTGGATAAAGTCACTTAGGTGTAATTTTACCTATCAGAGTTCAGATTTAGTTATTTTAACTAGTCGTTGTTAAAATATATGAATGTAACTGATTTTGTGCAAAAAGTTAAGTGGTCATTTTCACATCTATTAAATATCACCACGGACCGAACCCGCCTCTAATTTATGTGAATGTTCAAACGTCAACCCTTCTGGTATGAAGTCTGTGGTCTGCGTAACAATGAAGACTATCGTTCAAGTCTTTCAACCGAAAACCCGATGCACGTGTTTCACCGTATCTCCTGTCACGTGGGCAAATAATTAATATAATAATAGCCGTATAGTGACAACAGGCAGATTCTATAATACAATATAGAGGTAAATATGATTATAGTTTTACGTTATTATTAATTATTATTGTCGTAAAGTGTCACTTCTGTCTGCCGGTTCGTTACGAACGTCAATAAAAAAACAATATCAGGGGTTTGTGGTAGAACAACGCCGACCGGGTGTGTACACACACAGCTGTTGGTCGTTTACGACTTGAGCTATCTGTTATTCAATTATTACTGTCTACTATGTAGTATATTGTAGTGTCTAACACAAGTACATAGCGTAGGTATAGTCGGTCGTCTGTCACAGGGCAACGGCGAAAAACAAAAACGCCGAAACGGGCTGACGTGCTCAGCTAGCGCGACAAGCGTACCGGAGGAAGGGCAGGCGAACGGGTTGTTACCGGTGACAACACGGCGTAAAGAGGGAAGGGAACAGTAGTTTGTAACACACGGGTAAACACTGAACGCCTGACGGTAAAACTTAAAACAGTCGTTACATAGCAACGGGTGTCGGTGCACGTGCGGTAAATGATAATAATTATTATCCGCGTCGGTCGTTGAGTTCCACGATAAAAATCGCTAATTATATTATTACACATACAATACTCGAAGCGTTGTATTTTTCTTTGGTGTTTCCGTTTCGTTTACACGGGACTGTGTGTGTGCGTTCCTGCAAGTAGTCGGTGGCCAATAAAGGGTTACCTTAGACTTTGAGTGTACAAACGGCGGCACGGTGGATAATATCCTCCAGCGCCGTGTTCGGGTAAGAAGAATTTATTTTGATTTTGTTAAGCATTAATATATGTATTACAATGATTATCGATCAGTATATATGGCCGAAGCTTGCTTTAAACCGCACCTATCCCGCTAACACGTCATCAATACAATGGAAGTTCCCACGAGTTACCGAGATGAACTTCTATTATTTTTATGGTACTTGGAATAGGACTGATCAGTTGTTGAGTGTTTGGTCATAAAATATACTACTTGCCTGTGTGCTTTGGACTGTTCATGTACGAGGTAGATACATATGTGTATAGAGTCGCTTTAGACTTAAAAAGATAACCCTTGATATCACAGGGGGAAATATACCAATAATTTGGTTAGAGTTAATTGAAGTTAGTTTAATTGCAGAGTTTAAATCGAGACTGCTAACGAAATAAATAGTTGTACCAACTATATACACACACATAACCATAATTATAGTTAGTCCAACTATGTAGTTTTTCCGTGTAGCAGTGTCGGATTAACCAAAAAGCACTACTTTAGACCATTCTAGGGCCTATGGACACAGCCTTACAACTAACAATAGTATAACCGGTCTAATGGCCCAGACTAATAAAAAAAAATAAAACTTCTACATCTGTCATATATCATTCAATTACAAAAAAATAAAAATTAATGTAATTAATGTACTACGCTATTATATGTAAATCTAATACGATCGAGATTTCGAGGTAGGGGCTAATATTTTTGTAATATTTTTATGATAAAGATTATAAAGAGTCAAGAGGTAATAGAAATTAAACGTGAGTGCTTAAAGTGTTAATGTTAATCTTCACAGTTTACAGGAGTGTTCTGAAAACTAAAGTCCGCATTCCCTACGAATAGGTAGATCTGAGACCTGAATATAGATTCATTACATATCTTTGTCTATTTAAATATTAGAAAATTAATGGTACATATATTTATTGAGAACAATATCCAATTTAAGTAGTAATTTATTATTTATTTAAGTTTTAACCAGTAGCTTCTTAATACATACCTCTTGTTCATCGTGGTAAAATTTTAAATACGAAATTGTGTATTTCTGTTGTGCAAACAGAAATAATAATATTTAAGTGGATAAGTTTATTAAAACTTTTGTACAATAGTGTAAATAATATATATTATTAAATTAGAATAATATACAGTAAGCGAAAATACTGTAAATGAAAAATGAATGACAAGTGAAAACAACAGACGATTTGTGGATACTGTTACTTTGAAAATAACTAAAAACTATGGTTTACACATGAATGAGCAAAATATATTGTGGTAATGCCTACTTATATTTTTACATTTTTTCAACCATTTATTTTGTAAAAAACCAGATTATTTGTCTTTTCCAAATCGTTCAACACACAATTATAATACCAAATACGTGACGAGAGTAAAATGTGTAAAAAAAACATGTGGAAGATTCTTTTCAATCGTTAATACCCGTAGGCATATTAATATGATAGTAAAGAGGACGATTCGAGGGGGACTATTAATATCTCGGCTTGTTTACTAGCGTTAGACTTTGTGTAGTCAACGGGATTATTATTTTTTTTACCGTGCTATTTTTTTAATTTAATAAGCCTATTATATACATATTATTTGGTGTAGCCCGTTTAGGAGAATACACGTGTTTTGCTTCCTTAAAACGAATATATAAATATTAGTAATCTTGTTTATCAGTTCATTGGCTAACCAATTTCGAACCATTTCGAACGAATATAATAAATTGGATTTTCAACTATACATGAAAATTATAAACAATAAAAAAAATAAACAAAAGTGGCTTCTTGATACATTAGTAATTTGTTTATATTATTATACTGGTTATTGATGTTATTAGAGTCAAAGGCTGCCGTCAGCTGTATCTGAATGACCAATTCGCTAAATTTGTATTTCATCCAAACTCGATTGGCAGAAAATAAAGTCATAACACCTGATGAGAAATCAACCCCCAAATCAAATAACTATGGCCCTGGTATAAGGGGTGGGTTTTTAAATCTTTAGAAAGAACTTTACCTGCACCACACAGAATAAAATACATAACTAAATTTGATCAATGGCGTGATGAACTATTATAGACAAAATTTTTGTTTGTTTTTTACACAAAAAGTGGATATCCTTCCTCGACATTTTCTTACTATGACGCCGAGACTTCATAAAAATCTTATCACCACGCCATTGGATTCGGTGTAAAATTGATGACTTATGGCGAAATTGTATATGATGATAAAGTTTGTAAGAAATCGTATACGAAAATTAAACTACACTGCGGGAAAGTGAAGAGAAATTCCGTAACGACAACACGAGTAAAGGAATTGAATTAAAATTTAATAGGCGACGCTATTATTTGATAGGCAAATTAATTGAGTATACAATAAGCTAGACGGTCGTTGGTATGTAGAAATGTAGCTGTTGGCGTTGGCTATTTTAAATGGTAATACGGAATACCGAAGGTGGTAAAACATAATGAGAGAAAAAAAGTAAGAGTTCAAATCAAGTACAGCGACAGACACCGAAGCCACCAAAAGAAGAATCACTTAAAACGTACGGTTCAAGGTGGCCAATCATTTTTTTTTTTTTTTTTACATACATGGCAAATTAAAAACCGGTGTCGGCTGCTGCAAGCGTGTAGTGTTAATAATAATAATATGGAGCAGTGCAATTTTCACGTTTGCGTTCGTTTTGTTGTGCGCCAAAGTGGTCCGTCCGTACGCGACACCGGTATTTTCCAATGAACAACAGAAACGTCGGCCGAGGCGCACAGACCGTTTATTCATTGTCATATCTCGCGGTGTATTCACTGTTGTTGCCGGGTTCGTCTTAACCTGAGAACCGTTTCGTGGCACATATACTTTAAACATATAATATATCTACATATTTGTATACCTATGTACATATGTATGTATGTACAAGAGCAATTTGCGACGTTTTGTATCCTCGACCGACCGACCGGCCCGTGTACACCTACGTGAGCTCTAGAAATTTCACAATAGTATATAAGACGCCGAAACTAATTGAATTATAATAAACGAAAATAATAATAACATGTATTATGTAGAATAATAGAACCTAGTTTGTTGTATTGTTGTTGTTATTACAGACGATTGGGCGGTTCATCTGTGCGGCGGCGGCGGTCGGAGTGAAAACGTCGAATCATGAGCACGAGATTTCACAAGTAAGTACAAACGATTTTGTGTTATTGCACTATTAACACTTGTCTGGTGGTCGGGGCGACGAATTTGTACCGTGATTATATTTTTATTGAAACATTGAAATTATCGTAAAAAATATTACAGTTGTAAACACGCTTTGTGGTAATATTTATTTTTTTGCATTATTTATACATTTTTACTCGGTTTATACAACGCGGCTTTCTCGAAATCGCTATACAATTATTATTGCTGTTTATCTCTATCGTCTGATCGAACGTGACGGCGGTGGGTAGTGCCGTGTTGAAGATGATTAATCGCCGACGGGACTGTTTGAACGTTTCCAATAATTAACTAAAAAACTAACAATGTAAAATACACTATACTCGCTCTCCTATCTAGATTTTCATTCTTCCGCCAAATTACAATAATTGCTCAATCCGGTAAGTTTTTTTTTCTGTTGTTGTAACTGTTGAACAATGGTTTTGAGTCCTGTTAATTAGACTAATTGACATTATCCAATACATATGTGATGTACCATTGTTTTATTCCAAAATGTAACCTACCCTATTTAGATGATCCGTCATATTGTTATAACTTGTTGTTTTTATTTTTATTTGTGTAATAATGACAAAGTCGTTTTTAAAAATACAATGTAATAACTATTTTTTTTAAAAAAATACTAAAAGCTACTTGATAAGAAGGTTTTTTTGAAATAATTATTTTATACGTGGGACGAGTGTCGCCTGTACGCTCAAGGCCTCTTATTCATAATATTATTAAGCCATATTCACTTTTGTAGACTAATAGGTAGGCACACATATCGTTGTGTATAAATCCCTTTACATTTATATTCAGTTAAAATCTAAAGAAATTACAAAGAGGAGTTCTAAGGATGTTGCATAATAATTACTATTTAAAAAATGTACAATTGTCTCATGTATGTTAAGGTTACAAATCATCTTCATAGTTTTTTACCATCAGACTTATAATATAATTGTTACCCTGTACACTTCATATTCGGTTATAATTTTTATTAAACGGTTATCATTCATAAATAGCTGAGAGTGACTCATAAAACAAAGCATAACATTATGTTTGTTTTTTCACTGATCTGACAACGAGCAGCTGTCGAATAACATTTTCCTCTAATTAAATGTCTTGTTGCGTTAATATGTATCAGTGCGTGCAAGTTCAGTAGCTATTTAAGCGTTTTATATTATTAACGAACAATTAAACTATCACTGAATTCGTTTTGATTGCAATAATAATTGAATTTCACGTTACTTGATCTCTTTTTTATTGAGCTAGTATTTTCACTTGTAATATTTAATCTGTTTTGCATCCCTGTTGTATGTATAAATCTCCAAAACTGAATTGTATGGCACATTTTGGATTTGATCTTTATATATTTTAATATAAAAAAGTCAGACAATTTATAAATTCTATGAGGTAATATTTTTGTCCTGGTTAGATTTAGTTTGGTCTCTAAAATAAACTATTTGGAATAAATGTATTCTTTGACCTTAGTAATGAGAGAATAAAATATGTATATATGTTGGTTCAAGATTATTATATTATTATAAAAATGCGAGGTTTCGCAAGATTGCAGAAAACATGGTTTAAATTCTGTAACAATAAGTGTCTAAGCGGTTGATAAACCACAAATATTGTCGCGACGGTTTATCCCGTTAAATATGCAGTTAGGATAAAATTATATTTTGCGTCTTGAGATTCAAAAAAGTAACATTTATTCATAAACATTTTGGATAGAAAATAAAACATCCTATAAGTCAAATTTGTAAAATATTTTAATGATTTTGACTATATTTTCTTGTTATCGTAAGTAAAATATGTATAAGTAAGTATGTACAAGTATATGTTAAGATTTATGTGCAACTAACATAATGAACATCCTGGTTGATCAAATACCTTTTATTTCATGTTACAAATAAGTGCAAAACTACTATTGATTTTTGTGCACGTTTATCTAATAAAATAAAATATTGATATTTGAACAAAATTATAATAATGGATTAGAATATTTTGCTAAAATAATTACAATGTTAAATGTGACCAGATGTATTCTACATATTTACAATATCCCAATTAAAAATCATAACTCATAAGCTTCATTGTCATGACCTTTTAGAAATTTATAAAAAAAAAAACTCGGACACACTGAAATGTACATTTCAATGGCAATCGACATTGACCATATTCCAAACATATTCACTATCTACAATTTATGCATGTACGTTGAACAGTCAGTTAAACGCAAACGGTGCAATGCCCTGACCGACTCGATGGTTTTGTACAATTCCGGACAAAGCCAACATGTAATTATCATCGCGTTCTACATCATCATTGGCAAAGTGTGTGTAAATTATTAAAAAAAAAACCAACTCCGGAAACGCCCAAACGCATATTGTGTGTGTATCGTACCTATTCTGACATATTTTATACAGATCCAATCAGTAGCTATGTTTTACCCTAATAGAGCTAATACTAGAAATTCGTTCTTCACTTTACAATAATTCACAATGAGGATTTGAAAATATAAAACAACATTAGACGGATATTGATGTATTTTACAATTTACAATTCAATAGTTACATGGAAAAAAGGAACTAATTAATCATAGCCCATAGGCATTAGGAGTTTAAAACAAACTGTTTTATTTAACGTTTGGGAATGGTAATATTATCTTTGACCGCTCATACTATTCGATTTAATTGAACGTGGGTCACTCTAACTGACTTGTCTGCACTTGGAAATAGATATTTCAAAATTACCTTTCTTATCCACTTCTATTTTTGTTTAATGACCGATACGAAACACAACACAGATTTACCGTTGTGGGAAAACATCCGTAAGTCTCGATGTCCATCAAGCCAACGCGTTAATCTAAAAGCAAACAATACCCATCGTGCATTCCGTGTATTATAGGAATCGCGCGTTACGAAATTGCTTTCTAATAGCTTCGAGATTAAGGACACCTCCGCAATAGCCTTCCATAATAAGCGTCGCTCCGTGTCCTTTCACCGAACCAGAAAATGTACAGTTTTCAAATGTCCGGCACTCGATTATTTTGTGTTTGTATTGTAATTATTATTTGACGAAACCACAAGCAACGCTTAAACGTTTGTCTTGTCCGGATTGTGCTCGAGTTTGTTAATGTACCTACTTTAATGTGGCTATGGCTAACGCCGTTGTTTTATGTGCAGGGCTGCTCAAGACGGTTTTGTTAACATACTGAAAGAAGCGACGAAACGAGATTGCAACGCCAAAGACGAGGACGGTATGACGCCCACTCTATGGGCCGCTTTCAAAGGACACTTGGAGGCGCTCAGAATACTCGTCGGAAGAGGGTAAGGTCACAAAACTAGTGTTTTTTTAATTTAAATTTAAATTTAATTTTTAAACGATCGGTGGGAAAGCGTGATACGCCTTAAGCCACGACTAATCGGAGCTGATGTAGTCGCAAATGATCAAGGCATAATAAAAAAAAAACGACGTTTATAATAAGAAAAAATTACCTAAGATTCTTTGAAGACATTAAAAAAAACAACATATAACCTTCACGATATTTCGTTATCCGTCGCTGTTCGTAATAATATGAAAATAATTAACAAAAACTGAGATTTCAATGATTAACAGTGTACAAAAAATAGAATTGGTCATTGTTCGTCAAACGTAACACGGTTCAAATTATTTATCAGTTTTTTTCACGACAGAAATAATGACCAGGGCCGGCGCAAAGCATAGGCAACATAAGTTTATTACCTTGAGCGGAATTTTCTGCAAAATCTCTTTAGTTTGCCTAGGTTGAAATATTATACAGAGCCGGCCCTGAAAATTACTATTAAAAGTGCAAAGTTTAATTAATTTAAACAAATTGTATTTATTAAGTTGGATTTATTTTACATGTTATATTTTCTAGAGGCGATCCAGAGAAATGTAACTACCATTTAGGCCAAAACGCTTTACACTTGGCTGCTTCCAGGGGTCATATGGGTTGCGTTACCTTTCTGGTGGGGTTCGACGTTAACCTTTGGGCTTTGGACTTGGATTTGTTGACGGCCATGCAGTTGGCGGCCATACACGGCAAATCTCAAGTTTTGCAGTACTTGGACAAAGCGGCCGCAGCACAAACATTGCAAAACCCGTTAGTATAATAATATAAGTACAATAATGTGTTCGTTCAAGTTGTTTGGGAATTTTATTATTAAGTGCGACGTCTGCTGCGTTTGGTTTTAGGAAGAGGGTGGAAGCTAAAAAGGATAAGGCGCAAAAAGACGCGGAAAGAAATCAGAAAAAATACGACGACCGGATGAAAAAAGAAAGAGAAAAAGAAAAAAAACAAATTAAAAAAGTCGAAAAGGAGTATTTAGGTGGCAATAAAGTAGACTCCGATACCGCCATACCTACCGTTCGAGTAATACCTGCTTCGTGAGTAGAATATAATATGATGATTTTAGTTTAACATAATATACAAATATTACTAAGTAATTAAAACTGAAGTAATTTAGATAATTTTTGAGCCGGGTAAAAAAGTTAGTGAGTTAACTCCAGAAGTTAATGCGAATCGACTATTACATGAAAACGTGGTAGTTATTGAATAATGGTAGAAATAATGGATTTCAGCATTGTCCAAGTAAAAAAATAGATTGATTATAAATTATAAATTAATATTTAAATTGGGCCAATAATACAGTTTTTATTTGGATATTATGCTATTATAATAGCATAAAATTATTTTTACTATCATTATTATGTTAACATGCATGGCTAAATCTGAATTTGACTAATACTGACTAACCTAGGTAATCCTAAGGAAACCCTAAAACTAAAAAATATCCAGTAATTTCGTATAGAATGTTACTAAAATAATTAGCCGATAAAAAAAGCGACAAAAATTGTCTAAGCTTCTTTTTTAATTTGACGGCAGCTGTTACTTATTTGGCCTTGCTATTGTTATTATGTTTTTTTTTAGCTTGAGAAAATCGTCGTCAGACCTGTCGTGTAAATCGTTTACCGAAATTGTAGGATCAGGTACCATAAAAAAGCCGTTGGTCAGCACCGGCGGGGTGAAGAAAATATTGGACAGGAAAATTAAGGCAATGGACGGTAACGGCAACCGAACCACTAACAAATCGACGTTCAGACTTCTTAAAGACGTGAGTGAGCAGTTACTACTTAGAAACCGGCGGTGTTGTAATTTAAAACATTTTTAAAAACGTAATTTTTTATAACGGGCCGGGGTAGCGAATTCATGAACCTAAAACTAGATTGCGGTGTTCAATAATATTATTTTTGTTTATTTAATTATATAATTATTATTATTCATTTATTTCTATATATTTTTATTTATTTTAAAATTATTTGAAATTGTATCATATTTGTATTTTGGCACGTTGCAAATATCCTTTTTGAGTTGGTATATCGGATTCAGTTTCAACCTGTTTTTTTACTTTATTCATTTTGGTGTACAATTAATGTACTTTTCTTTTCGTAATACGAATATTATTATATTATAATTATTACAAAACGATATACTTAACGCCTCTGGTTATTTGAGTGTATTGTTTTTCCGCCTTACTAAGCGTATGCAAATGTTTACTCTTATCCAGTGGATATAAAAGAACGTTCCTATTGTTACGCAACAATGTTTCGTTTTTGCATACTAACTATAAACTATTATAAATTTATTAATGTAATTCAAAGCACGGTGATCCGTAGGTCGAAGACAGTACCAGCGTGCGGACCATGACGTCCAACGGTGACTCTCAGATAATTTATGTGAACTCGTACGAAAACGATAACGGAGGTAATGCTTTGGCCGTTTTTATAACTATTATACTATCTTCGCCATTATAATATTCATAAGACAACAGCTGACAATTTTGACTATCTCAACTGTATTGCCACAGAAGACGTACGGTACAGCGAAGTAATGGAATTGTTTTAAGTTCTTCGATTTCGCTTTTAGTAACTATTAATAAGTAGGCACGACAAAATAATAATGTACATAATAAAAACACTATACAATGAATGCGATTCAGCTAAAAAAAAATCGGAAAAAAACAACGCTATGGTTAGGTTAAGCGGGAAAGGATAAGCTTAAGACAAGACAAATACATTCGAACGGATTTTGATGGATTGACACGGTACCTTAAAATTAACGACGCTAGACAATTACATATATTATATATTACTGTTATACATACACATACAGCTAGCTGATATAGTTGGTATTCTTCATTGTCGCCGTAAAATATTGTATCAGGTTGGTTCTATTGGGGAATAGGAAATCGTGTCCCGTGACTGAGAGAGAAGTAATTTTAATTCATAGTCAAAATTTAGATACACTTTGACAATGGATGGGTAATACATATTATATTGATGTATAACAGTTAACACGCCTATACATAAATAGGTTCGATTGATGTGACCCAGACAGAGTCGACAGATGGCCATAGTTATATATCCAAATAAGATTAATTTATATTGAATTGAAACAACGTAGGTCTTGATATGAAAATTGTATTTTCTTTCAGGAAAGAGAGGTAGAATATCGGACGTGTTTGAATTGCACCGAACGATATCTCAGCCTGACTTTTTGATGAACCTGCACAACAACGACTTAAACAATATGCACAGACACGACCAGGGCAGTATGTTCGACAGACCTGGTTTTGGAAGCGTTGCGTTTAGGAAAAAGTAAGTTTGAACCGGTCACATAAAAAAGTAATGCATACACAATTCACATTTCATTATTCGAGAGGGAAATAAAAATTAAATTAAAAATTGATATTTTAAGAGGAATGAATATCACACGGACTGTTGTGACTTACGATAAAATATCTAAACATCATAATGCATATTAATAATACCTATTTCCGTCAATGCAGTTGTCGAGCACGCTGTATACACAGCTGTTGTGTAAGGCAGCGTTTATAACGGTTTTTATACCTAGACTAGACAATTACTAGACAACTGTTCCGGTATAGAAAAGTACCACAGCAGGGAGGTAAATTACTCTTGTGATAAAACGTTCGCGTCACAGAAAAGCAAATATATATTTAAAAAAAAAAAAACAATAATAATAATAAAAAATAAGGAAATCCGAAACAAATAAATTACCGGTAGAATCCATCGGCAGTTCGACGGGCTGTCGTGAGATTTCAGACAAAAATAAAAACTTTTTTTCTTTTTCTTAATTTTTTTTTTAGCATAACTACAATCCCGGTTCCGGACGTATCCAGAGCGACCATAGAAGACGAACAATGCAGCATCGGTAGTGCGGGCAGCCTAGTGAAGCGAAACCAACCCAGCAGCACCATGTCCTGGGACGAATTTCAGAACAGCGACGGTAATAGCACTCCGTGATTTATCGTTATAATAATAGTTATTATTGTTGTTATCCTGATGCAGTATTATGCTACATACTAGTAAAGTGTATGTATGCATTAAAAAAAAAGAACATTTTTTTTATCCCTACACGAGGATAAAAAAAAATTCAAACAAAAATCATGCTATGATTGTTTTTTTTTAAATCATTTTGTAATGAGAGAAAAAACTGACAAACAAACCCGTAAACCCTAACGCGTTTATTATATACTTATTAAAATATAATACAATTATAGTTTGCACAGTGTACACGCACAGTTACAGTGTCTGGAACATCTAACTCAATAAGAACTCAATGCCTAGTAATTACACTATCACAATATTTTCAAATTTCAGTAGGCGATTCTGAATTTTTGTGCAAATGTTGTGTTTGTATTTCTCAAAAATATTAAATTACTTTTTTAGCCTTTTGCAGGATTTTTGTATATAAGTTGTAAATATAATTCAAATAATATCTTGGTTTTGGTTAGATAATCGGTTTAATAAATAACTTAGGATTTTAGAAGGAGAAAAAAAACATTAAAATTGGGTACGACAAGAATTATTGAAATTTTCAAAATTGCATAAGAGTAAGACCATCTTGTGTATGATAGAACAATAGTATAACTACACCTTCATAATAATAACAATAATGATTCTTATATTAATTATCATATCTATAAGGCTAACTTCACTTCGATCATTGTTGCGTTGCTCATTACTCAACATTAATGTATTCAACTATTAAAATCCAAGTTGCAGTTCTGAAGTTGCAAGCTTAATATTAAGTATATACATGATGGTATTACGTAAAGTGTCCTGGTTTATTGAAAAATAGTTTTGTACTTGTATTGTTTTCTAAATAACGTTTTTGCTGTTTCAGAGGAAAATATAGCGTTAAACGGACGCAGTGCCAAGTGGTCGGTAGTACATAATTTTTTGGTCTCGGCCGGTGTGGGCGAATACGTCCAAAAGTTTATCGAGCAGCAAGTAGACCTGGACGCTCTGTTTATGCTCGACGACCAGGATCTCATCTCTCTCGGTCTGCCACTAGGTCCAAGAAAGAAACTTTTAAAAGCCATAGCTGAACGGGACACGATAAAGCGTGTCAATGGAATGGACAACGAATCTGGCAAAATTGTTCAATGAGTTTTGTTCGACACACAATATGTTTTTTAGGTGTATAGTTCCACAATTTTTTTAACCACTTGTTTGTACGTGTTAAATGTTGTTTTCGAATTTTCTGGTAGGACAAAAGTAAAAATTTAACATATTATATAATATATTGATTACTAAAAAAATGTTAACATTCTTTTAAAAAAAAAAATTCAATTGCTGTAAGATTAACCCGCGTTCAATTAAACAAATTCTCCGTTAAAGCGGAGTAGACATTTTATCTGAGTCTGAGTAATAATTATAATGTATGCTACTTAATAAACACGTTAAAAACATGAAATGTCTTTAAAACATACCAAGTAATTTATTTTATTTTCATTGCGATGACTGGCGAAATCTAGACTGTCATTTGTTATGTTTAACGTTAGAAATAAGTAATAACTTCCTTGTAATTTTTTTATTTATTTATTGTTGTTTATAAATATTATTGGACAATAAAAGATAATAGAGAAGTGGGATGTTTGTTATGTTGCCTATTGTCTATGTATAAGGGGCTATAATGTCAAGCACGAATTATTATAAGATATAATTCTCATAATCGTTTCGTCGATTATATTTGTACATTTATGAGTCGTTCATTTAAAAGTGAATTATCTCCTTGTAATTGAATTTTGAAATAACGAGCTTTTTGTAAATTAATGTGTAGGAAAAACAATTCAGTGTTTTCTATTTTTTTTTTTTTGCGTTTATTGGAGTTGCTTCTCTTTTATAATGAAAGACAAGTCTACCTAAACTAAGTTCTCATCAAGTGAGTACAATATTTTTCTTAGCTCTAGATTTACAGTAGATACTTGCTTGTGTCTATCCAGACACCGCTCGACGATTACAGTAATTTTTATTAAAAAATTAATTTAAAAAAAAGTCAGCCATTTTTTTTATCGTATTGTATAATAAGTTGATTTGTATTTGATTTCACGATAGCTGTTTGATTGCTAAGCCGATTATTGTCAAATGATAATACATATCATAATTTAGCACAGAGTTGAAAATGATTTTATCACTTTCATATTATTAAAAAAACACATAATTTAAGAACTTTCGGCATCGAAGCTCAAACATATTCTAATATTCAACATAGAAAATTTAAAGTTTGAATACATATGGTTTTGTGGCCGTTTGGGTGCATGGGAACTTTAAATTATATTTCTGAGAATAATAAATAACTGCGAGTATTTCAAATACCAACTGCAACGCCAATAATAATATATTTTATTGTTAATACATTTTAGAATACTGGATATCAAAAATTGTTAGGTTGCCTACAAAAAACAAAAATAATAAACATACAACGAAAAAAAAATAATATTAAGTTTTTATATAATAAAATATAGTATATAATATTAATTTGATATCTACTGAAGTTAATTAAAATACATACAATATTATTTTCATACTTAGCAAAATAAATTATGGTCTAAACTAAACTTATATACAATATATTATTGACTATATCAGAGAGGGCATGAGGACGGGGTAAATAATAAAATTGTGGACTTAAATGCTCAAAATTACTTTACAAATCGCTCACTAAAACATAGAAAAAAACACATTTAACACGCAAATACAACAAACAAAATAACAACACATGAAAAAAAAGTAGTAGACATAGAATAGGAGCATGAAATGCAAAATGTTTATGGTATGAAAAAAATGACACATTTAATTTTAAGAGTTGAAGTGAATTGCTTTGGTCAAGTTGCCAATTATTAATTACATATTAGTTTAACTAAAAAAAAAATACACATAATATTAAATTTTTGTATTTTTTTGGTTTTATATAAAAAAAAAAGTATTTGCAAAGGCACTTGTATTATATTGATTACTCAATGATTTTCATAGATTAATAAACAAGCTGAACTAAGTATAAATAATTATAAATAAAAAAAAAATCTAATAAATTCGTAATGATTTCTCATTCAGTCAAATCAATACTTATCATCATCAACTTTAATACTATACTACTATGGTATATTGTATAATCGATATACAAATTAGGGAAGCCATATTTTAAATATTATACATATATGTATATATATAATATTTGTAACATATAGCATTGGTGTAATTCAATAAAAAAAAAAAAAAAAAAAAAAAAACATAAATGATATTTAAATGCCATATAACTTGTCGTTTCCCACACTTTATTGGACAATTAAACAAATACCGGCATTATTTTTCGTTTGAATACACAAACATAGACATGAAGAAATAAAATGAAAACACTATAAACCAGAAACTGAGCTTCATCATAATGTTCGGTTTTGTTGCAATCCACTTGTGCTTACGACGCCGTGGCACTCACAACGGCCTGGTAAAATTGGCCGGGAACATTTTCTTTTCCCCGGTGCTTTCTTTAATTCCGATTAACCAACCTTCCTCCTGGTGGGACACAAAACATGGTGTTTTTTTAAAAATCACATACATATTATAACAAACGGCATTACACACAAAGGACTTACTTGAGTCTCCGGATCGTCGTAAGACACTACACTGATAATTTCTCCCTTTTCAAATGATAACTCATCTGTGTCTTCTGCGTCATATTTATATGTTGCCACCACTCTGTACAAAACTCCTGCTGGTAAATTATCAGTTGTGGCTCCTGTAAAAAAAGAAAATTATAAACACATTTCTTGGGCTCAACAACAAATCATGATAAAATACGTTGACATATCTACTTCGAGTAGGCATTAAGAAAGAAGGAAAAGGACCAAATATACATAACGTAATCAAACTACATCAGCTGGTTAAAATCTAATCGAATGTACCTGGAGGAATTTCGATTTCGGCGGCTAGATTCTTGTTACTGCCATTTTCGTGTCTAGCTGGCGCCACGCCATTGGTTTGAGGACTGTTACCGTTAACCAATTTCTCTTCTTCGACCACTTGTTTTGGTGGCACATCATTATTGATTTCGGGCGTTTTACTTACAGCGGTTGCTGGAGGGGAAGGTGATAAGCTCGGGGATTTGGTAGTGTCATCTTCTACATTAAGCATTAGTAATCACACAAAAAATTCATTTTAGTCAATATACAACGACAATATTACATCAAACACATCGTTAAATGGGAATTTTTATAAAAAAAAAATATAATTACCGTTTATGGAAATTGGAGACACCGGTGACTGCAACCTGTAATACAATTATTTTGTAACAATTTTTTTATTAAAGGGAAGTTTTTTTTTTTATAAATTATAAACACTTACGCTGATTGTACATTATTGACAACATTGTTCACTGTCTTGTTGTTTCGGACAAAGTAGTTTAACATTTTTGATTGGTGTTGATAATCATTGGCTAGTTTGTCAACAATTGATTCCATTTCTGCAAATACCTGTCAACATTCAAAATCAAATTGTTACACAAACTGATCAACGACGCAGAAGCGAATAATTGTCTCCAAACATACTTTTGATGACTCGTTGTGGAATAGTTGTTCGGCAGCAAAATATGGCTGTAAGTTGGTTATCAAGAATAACACTCTAGAGTTGTAAAGAGCTGGTAGTTCATCGTGCAATTCGCTGTTGATAAGGTCGAACTTCCGCTTTACCTCATCAAATTGTTCTTTGGCTTTCATCATTTTCGCTTCGTCTTTCTTTTTGCCGACACCATTGTTTGTACTAGCCAACTGATTGCTGTGTCTTTGGCTATCGTAATCTACCAGTTTCCTGTTGCGCTTGTCGATTTTTTTCTAATTACATAAACAATTTTACTATTATCAGTAATGTATACACAAAAGTTTTGAAACTTTACGAAGGTAAAGTTCAACAAAATTGCGACGCCCAATTCCCAAATGCAGCACAAAAAAGTTTATGACATTTATCTGTTCGTTAAAAATAAACGCTACATCCACTTGGGCTACTAGTTACCTTGAAACTAGTAATTTTTGACCCAAAATATAACGATAAGAAATAAAGGTCACCGGAAGCAATTCGGATAGTAATTCGGAGGAAACTAATGCATCAGGCACCGATCCACTTGGCGCACATTTTACCTAAAAGACAACTCATTTGCACATATTAAATTCATAAACAATAGTCCTTGAAAACGTTGAAGACTTTCTGCTGACACAATAATTATAATGTCATTGACAGGTAGGTTTAAAAATGATGCGCCTTTTTACAAAAATGCGGAAAACGGAAACCCCCGGTAGATTATACACATAAGGAAGAAAGGTTTAACGGCCAACGCGAAATAAAAATATAAGATAAAAATGTGCGCAAACGAGTCATCCTATAATCGGCAAAAATTGTGTGATGTGCGAAAACGATTTTTCACCAAAATTAAATAGCCAAATATATATAATGTACCTCCCCACACCTCCCCTGTCCCATGCCTAATCGACAACCTTTTTTTTTTTAAATATAAATTCCACATAATAGCTTACTCGTGTTTCGGCAAATTGAGCTTGGTACGTGTTCAGTGGAATGAGCACTTGATCCGCCAATTTGTGGCTGTAATCGCTCCACAACATGTCCAAGTTATTGGAATGAGTGCACATGTGATCGTGGCCGACCCACTGGCTCTCGTACATTTCGTTCAGCGTGTCCATAAGACTTTTACTGGCTACTTGGACGGCTGAAAGCAAAAAATTACATTAATTAGTTTACACCGAACTAGGAGTCAACGAAGAAAATATCACAACACCGAACACGACTTAATGACAAAAGGTAAGGTCGCAACTCACCTCGGACGCATCGTATGTAATTGGTAAATTCTTTTTGCAATTTATTTGCCGAATTTTGTTGTTTGGAAAAATTCTGTAGATGCTCGTTGAATATTTCATCTTCGGTCCGGTCTACTTTGCCCAGATTCTGTAAAAACTAAAAACAAACAAACAATAATTAATATACACAAAAAAAAAGTAACCCCGTAATGCCTAAACCTAACCTGGGCACTCTAAGCTTTACAAGCTACATTTTTATATCAAAATGGATACGGGTAATTTATTGGTTACACACTATACATGTGTCAATTTTCCTACGGCCCAATTGCAATATTCTAGTAGTAATTAAACATTTAACGCAATTATAACACTACTAGAATTTATTAAAATATTACTGCGCATTTCGCAATACCGAAGCTGTTTTGCAATAAAATGTATAATGACGATAATAGCTACATTTATTATTCGCGTTTTCATCATCGACTGGTGTCTTGGGAAAATAGTGTCACACTATGACCGTAAAAGTACCTACTTATGTGATATAAGTGCAAATTCAAAAACCAACCGTCGTTAATGCGCAGTGACAAAACGTAATGATATTACAAATATGTATAATAATATATGTTATACTAATTGCAAATCCGATCACGACCATACGGGTTTAATTAAAATAACAGCAATATTTAACCGAATATTTGAGTTTAAATACCATGTTATTATAGTCCAACAAAACAACGATAATGCTACGTTTAAAATAAAATACACACTGCATTGCAGTAAATTAATTATTAAGTATGATAATATTAATTGATCATCAAGTAACAATGCGACAAAAACCGATATGAAAACCCAGGCGAGTGCAAAAATAATTTAGGTGTTTTTTGGGCGTTGTATGGTTATATCGAATACCTGAATTACTCTATTACCATTGATGTTGGAAAGTAATAAGTACTCAATATGTCATGTGTTTTGACGGGTAGTAAAAAATGTCGAGCGAGTGCGGCATTGTGAATTATTAGTATTAGACACACGGTGCATATATTATTATGTACTAGTATACACCGTAGGTAGGGTTTATTAGTTTTTTTTCAAGGTCGAGTTTTACTACTTCTGTTTTTATTATTGCTATTTAGTATTTAGTTGTCGTTGTTCTGGTTTAATTTGCGATCACCTGCGGCACTAAAACGTTTTTTATACAAAAAAAAAAATCAATAAATTGCGGTAGTTGTGGACGAATTGTACAGATTTCCCAGACGAAAACTTTAAAACAGACATCAAGTCAATTGATTTTTTTTTTAATTTTCATACAAAACAAATCAATCGAAAAAAACCGAATCACAACGGCATGCGCTGCGTTAATATTAATTCACGGTCAGGGCCAGGGTCTTTTATTGAACAATATCGTCGGCGGTGAAAGCTAAAGCTAAAGGAGAAAACAATAATATAGGGCACTTCAGAGATTAAAGGAGCGCACTAAGCTCAACGATCCGGTTACTCTCTACTACATGACGGTCACTGTCTTACTAGGCTTCGTCTTAACCCACAGACCGTGTCGTCGTTATGTTTACGTCAATGCAAATAAATCTAGTCCATATGGCATAGAACATCTGAAACACATTCTTATAATACTATATCAGCGAGACTTGGAAAACAGACTTTTCTCGGTGGCAAAATCCTATTATTGCATTATTATTATTGGAGTACTTTCACCCAGATACATGCATGTTATGCTGTTACGGTGATATGGTGCAACACAATATATATATTGTTTTTTGTATTATTATTATTATTCTCATCTAAAAAAGTTTCATTTCGGGATGTCGTCGTCGCCGGCGTACATTGTATGCAGATTTTGCTAAGTTAAAATTAGTTTTTTTGTATATAAGTATAAAGTATACACAGTTTATTCGGGCGCCTACGTTCGTTTTTGTTTTAGGGCGTTACGTGGGCTTTTCTTCGGTGTACATGCCGCAGCAGCAGCAGCGGTACGGCTCGCGTGGGACAACCACTTAGAATTGTGTAACAAGACAACCCGAATTGGGTACGAAAAATTTAAGCAAAAATTAATTTACCGGAATATTATTCGAAACGAATGGAACGTCAGGACGTTGTTAGTTTATTTTTTTAAACGCTATTGGCGGTATCGAGTATACCTATATTGGCGGAACCACCTCTGCTGTGATGTGTACTAAAAACAGATTTTTTTTTTGTCCCGGTCCGACGATTTCGGTGCACATAGAAACAAAAACCATATGCCTTCGAGCCGATTATCGATCGGTCAACACACAATACACGTGACACAAAACGTCAAAAAGTTATTGGAAACGGTTGAAGGCTTTTATGGTATTATGACGAGTTGTTTTCTAGTTTGGTAATAAAGCATGATTTATATTTTATTATCGAACGCCCAGCACACACACGGTGTTACTAGAATTATTATTTTAATACCCTAATATTATCCTTGTTGGTAACGCGGAATCTCCTTATAGTTTTACCACAAACGAGCTAGCAAGTCGTCGTCAGAACTTGCCCATCCACCAGATTTCTGTGTGTTATTTCTAGCTAACGGTTGTAGCGTCGAAATTTATAGATAAGGCTTAAAAACCGCCGGCAAATAAGACAATTGCAATTAGCGTTTGCCGCTAACTAGATAGTGGATAATCCTGTTTGTTAAAAATGACGTCATCTTCAACCTCCTATTGAGCGGTTTACGTGAAAATAATTGATAGTTATTAGTCGTTTGTCGCGGCATGGCAGCAGCGTTCATTTTCAATGCGCATAACATACACACGGCCACGAGGCGATAAAACAATATTATAAAATATTACACATTGCACGTTCATAGTTTGTATTCAGCAAACATAGCAGTAAATACACGCGAACGAAAATGCATTTTGCGTCGGAAACGCATCCGGTTCGGATGACACAAAAAATCTTATAAATAATCAAAAATGGAAGCTAATTAGCTCAATTCCCGATTTCTAATATTGATAATAAGATTGGAAGTATGGAAATAACGTACTCTCTACTCTAATAGTGTCCACAAACGTAAATCGTGATGTGACCTGGACTTCCCACACAAGCAATCATTATATTATTCAAATTATCAATGATTTCATTTAGGCGCACGGTTATCATAAATATGCTTGATAAGCAGTACCAGTTTAAATCATAATCATCGAAAAAATATGAGTAAAATAATATAGTACAAAGATGAGTACAAACAAACAACGGAACTGTTGACTTTTTTTAGTATCGTCAAATCAAACAAGTCGTCAACAATAAAGCTTCATATAGGATTTTTTTTTTAAAGATTTTTCTAGAATTTCTGATTTGACGCCGGACCGCGGTTGTTGCGTAGAATAATTTATTGTCCTTAGTGTAGTGTTTAGGTGGATACCCACTTGATTTGGAGACGGCGGTGGTGTGAAACCGTGGCCCACGCTTGTTAGACCGTAGAAAATATTATTTCATAATAATCATAATATTAATAATGAAAATAGTAGTTACACCTCTCAAGTTTCACACTCGACTTCAGTAATAATTGTTAAATAATGTATCATTTTCAACATAAGAATACTTTACTAATTTATTAGTAATCAATCAACCGTAGACCACTTCAATTTGTTAGCTTACAATATTCTTGTTCATAGAAGCATTCATAACATAAATATTCTAGATGTAAAGAGTGTTATTCTTCTATTATTTGTTTTGAAGTCGTACATAGTTAAGGAGTCAAAGAGTACAGCTGCATAGGAAGACTATGGATAATAATTGACTAGTCTCAAAAGTGAAACTCAAAGTTGGCCGACATAGTTTTTAAGTACTTTAAAAAGTTAAATTACAAAAAATTGAAACAGGATAGAGAGAAAAAGCATTATGTAGAATAAATAAAAATGGGCAGTCACAATGTATGTGACAGATGTCACAAACTGTCAAATTGATGGTTTGGTATTGAGAGTAAAACCGTTGTACTCGTTACGAGTATGTTATTTTAAAAATATTTCTTTTTTGACTTCTATACGTAGCTAAGAGAAGCTATCGATTTTGGAATGATGAGTTTTGTTTTCTTAATATTACAAATTTTACAGTTTACTAATTTCGCAGTCGAGGTAGTTAGCGACTTGAAAGTAATAACTCTCAATAATGCCAAGAAAAACGCTCTGACGCGAGTCTATGAAACTCTAACTAATAAATATGTATAGATACATAATATGCTTGTTTATACTTGTTTGCGGGTTCTTGCATCAACGGGATCTCATTAAAGCGTCTGACAGCGATTTAATCACATTTAATAATACTTCCAAACTAATGACATAGCTGCTCCGAGTCTCGACTCTAATATGCTTGTTTTTAGAGAGTAATAAAGAGGAGAATAAAAGACATACTATACAAGTTAAATAAAATATTAAGACTGTCCAATTTGCTTTAGTTCTCAATATTATGTAATTTGATGGTATTGCGAAAAATGTGACTGACATTAACTTATGAAACTCATAAAAGTGTCAATTAATAAACGAAAACTAAAACGAGTCAGACTTGTATAGAATACTAGTAAAAGATGTGTGGATGTCGTAATTTGTAACCAAATGTTATACCTACGCGATATGCGAGTTTAAGCGATTCGCCTGACCCTTGAGGCATTGATAACAAAATAAGCCCACATGGCCAAAGGATTATGGCATGGCGCCGATAAAATATGAGTTTAGTAAAATAAACCATCAAATTAATTTTCGACAAAAAGGTTCAAGTGTTCAACGAATTGATAACAATAGAGAAAAATGATCAAACTACTTATTATGAATGCATTAATATCGCTTTCTTCGAATCATCGATAATAAAACATCAAAGGAAGTTTTACATAATACGAAAATAAAAAAAAACTTATTTAAACTCGTAAAAGGACATTTAATGGGATTGCGAATTGCTAGACAAATAAAACAAAAGTAATAATAAAGCAATGAACATAATTCGGATACAGAATAATAACATTTATACTTAGTAGCCTTAGGATTTGAGATATTTAACCGAAGTACATTATACTTGGTACAGACTTTGTAACTTTCTCATAAGCCCGAGGCAGTGTTAACAATAATAATTGTTTATTTTCTAATTCTTAACAATTTTCGATTAATTTGTGGGTTGGACAATATAAAC